CGAGGGGCACGGAGCACACCTGAGTTGGCAGACTTGGGGACCGTGGCGCCGGCAGGAAGTGGCTCCATCCATGCAAGCAGCCCCTCCGGCAGCACTGCTGCGTTGACCAAAGCGGCCACGGTGGCGCCCAACTTACTCTGCGGCCGCCTCCAGGTGCAGGTGGAAGGCCTGGCGGGCCGCATCCGCCTGCGCGTGCACCTGCTCCAGGCGCTGCTGCGCCGACGTCAGCTCCATCTGCGCCTGGCTGCGCAGGTAGGACACCTTGTCCTGCACAGCGGCGGCGCGTGGGAGGGTGGATGCTCGTGTGCGTGTGGGCATGCAAGGCAGAGCAGCTCCCGATGCACAGTAGGAGGCATTGGCCGACAAAGCACGCAATGCATCCAGGCCGCTTGCTTGCCTGCACATCGGCATCCATCTTGCGCGCCTGCTCCTCCCGCCCTGCGGCGGCATGCAGCTTGCCCAGCTGGCTGGCGGTGTTTATCTGGAGCCGCTTCCAGGCGTTGACGGTGTTTGTGCTGGCCGCCGCAATGTCTGGCATGCCTTCCAGTGCCTCCATGTCCACGTCAATGGCTGCAGGGGAGGGAGCAGTGGGCATGCGCTCACAGCCTGCCCTCGCTTGGTGGAGAGCTGCCCCCGTTGCAGCAAGCACAACTGCCGTGCCTGCCCCCACCCGCCCACCTGCAATGCCCTTTTCGGCCACCCGAAACGACTGCTCCAGCAGCAGCAGCGCCCTGCCCAGCAGCTCCTCCCTGCTCAGCGCCTCCACGCCGCCCCTGCTCTTGCGGGCACGCTTGGCTGGCCGCGGGCTGGCAGGCTCCTCGTCCTCATCCTGCGCCACCGCCTCATCTTGCCTGGCCTGGCTGCTGGGCAGTCCTGCACCGCCCCTGGCCTGGCTGACGCCGCCAGCCTCCTCCGCCTTGGCAAGCAGTCGCATGGCCAGCGTGTTGAGGTGCGCACACAGCGACCGCTCCGCCTCCTATACGGGTGAGCAGCAGGGATGGGCAGGGGACAGGTAGAAGAAGGAGAGCAGGGCCTTGGCAGCCCAGGACTGGCAGATCACAGATCCCTTCCCTGCTGGCCCTGCGCTGGTGCCGCCACATTGCCCTGGAGAAGGCGCCGCCCGCCCCCGCAGCACCTGCAGGTCGTACTGGGCGGTTTCCACCAGCCTCTGCATGATCTCTTCCATGGACAGCGTGGCGCCCACCCCCAGCTGGCCCTCCGCTGCCATGGCGCGCCAGCTCTTGGTCAGCTGCAAGGGAAAAGAAAGTATGCAGGCAGCAGCGACTCGGTGGATGAACAGACCCGGTGGATGAACAGCCGGTACATTCCCCCTTTCCTGGCCGCGGCTAATGGCCGGACTGTCTCCCTGGCCTTCCACACCTGCCCACCACCTACCCCCCACCTGTGGGTGGATACAGGCCAGTCGCAGCTGCAGGCAGCAGACGCGCAACACAAAGTGCGGCTCATCAATGGAAGGCCAAGGGTGCCTCGCCTGACAGCACCCTGGCCAAGATCCTCGACGCACAGGGTGCGACACATCGCATTGCTGACACCACACGGCACTCGCCTGCGTCAGGTTGTCGACCGCCGCAAGCTGCAGCCGCTCGCTCTGCTTGGCCTGCTGCCGCTGGCGCGTGCGGGCGGCGGCGGGGCTGGTGGGCTCCTCCTCGTCGCCGCTCGCAGGCTGCTGCAGGCCGCGCCGGAAGCTGAGCAGCTCCTCCCGTGCCTTGCGCGTCTGCTCCACCACCTGCTCGTAAAAGGCGCGCTCGCCTGGCTGGAAGTGCAGCCACGTGGGCTTGAGGGAGCGGGCGGGCAGGTGGAACTCCTGCGCGCAGTCCCGAGGCAGGCAGCGCAGTTGGACGCAGGCCAGCAGAAGCCACCGCCTTCCATTCCCACAGGCTCTGCCAACAGACAGGTGTCGCAAGGCTCCACGAGGCTCTGTAAAAACAGCCCAACACCAGCCACACACCTGCGCGACCACGCCCTTGGTGTTGCGCCACATCAGCGGCTTAAGCACCGCCCCAAGCAGGCGCCAGGCCTGGGCCGCTGCCGCACCGCCCTCTGCCATGGGCTCCGTGACCAGGCGCCGCCACGCCAGTGCGTCTGCAGCGGCAGGCAACACATGTGTGGCAAGCAGCGCACGGCGGGGCAGGGAGCTCGCTCTTAGCACGGTTGCACCCCCCCTTCACTGCCGCCCCTCGCCTGAAAACGGCTGGTGCTTCAGCGTCTGCAGCAGGGCGCAGATGTCTGCAAGTTCGTTGCTGCGGTGGCCGCCCATGGGTGTGCCTGCATGCGCAGAGGCGCAGGGAGGGCAAGCTGTGCCAGTGGGTTGTTGCACACTCGGGGCAGGGCAGCAGCGTGGTGGCGTTTCCCAAGCCCCTCCTAGCCACCCGTCGCCCACCTGTCACGCACCACCGGTGGACAGCGTTCATGCGCTCACACATGGTGCCGGCGGCAGACAGCGGCCCGACCATCTGCGCCTCGTCCACTACCAGGCGCCACCAGCGGACCTGCAGCAATTGCGAGGCTGGGTCGGTTTGGACAACCGATTCGCCACCTGTGCAATAGGTTCAGCGCCACCCGGCGTTGAACCTCATGCCAGCCGTTTGCCTCCCACAGCCAGCCCCCTCACCTGGAGCAGCGGGCAGTGCGGGACCTGGTACTTCTTCTTTTTCCGAAGGCTGCGAGAGCTGGGCACAAAGTAAACCTGCCAGCCGGCAGGGGAGGGCAGCGGCATCAGGCCAGCGTGGTAGAATGCCCCCTGCTATCCGTGCACTGGTGCCCTGCTTCCTGCACCTCCACCCTCAGCAGCCCCGCAGGTCGCAGCAGCCCCGCAGGTCGCAGCAGCCCCGCAGGTCGCAGCAGCCCCGCAGGTCGCAGCAGCCCGGCCCGGCCCGCCTCCCTCACCTCGGCACGCAGCACATCGAAGCTGGTCAGCACCACGTCGGCCTGGCGCAGGCGGCGCAGCGCGGCCTCCACCTCTGCGCCAATGTCGTACACGGCCTCTATCGTCTCCCCCGCCAGCAGCCGCGCATACAGCTCCATCTCCCGCTGCGCCGGCTTCTGCCGCTTGGCGCCGCCGCCCTCCTTCTGCAGCGCCCCCTGCAGGCCCCGCAGCCCGTCGTAGATCTCCACGGCCAGGGCACCGTGGCCGTGGTTGGACAGCTCAGACTGCCACTGCTGCAGCAGCGCAGGCGGGCAGACGACAAGGGTGCCGCCGCGGGGGCTGCCCCCGTTGCTGCTGCTCCCCGAGGCGGCGGCTGTGGGGCTCGCGGGCGCGGCTCCCTCGGCTGCCAGCCCATCTGGCTCGCCGCCGCTGCCCGCTGGCTGCTCCTGGGGGCTGCTGGCTGGCTGCGGCAGGATGCCTGGGCGTTGCAGCCAGTTGGGTGGCGGCGGACGGGCCAGGATGAGCGCCAGCATCTCGACCGTCTTGCCTGCAAGGCGCGCTCAGGGCGCAGGCACGGGGAGGGTGGGCATGGGGAGGCATGCTGTGCCAGGCTCGGTGCAAGGACAGAGCGCCCGACTCGGCCCGAGGGCATCTGCAGCTGCACGCCCTGGCCCCACCACAATGTTGCCCCAGCTCAGCTGTTTGGCGTTCCACTGCGCCCTGCCCAGCAGGCGCAAGCGCACCGAGTCCCATTTCTTCTGTTAGCAGACCACCCGGGCAGGCAGGCTCGGGCGGCATCCCAGGCTCCCGCCGCACGCAGCCACCCATGGGGTCCCAGAACACGTGCCCGCCAGACGGCAGCTCCATGGGCTGCCACAGCAGGCTGCTGGCGGGCAGGACCGCCTTGGCGCTGCCGGGGTCGGCGCCGGCCTGCCGTGCCGCTTGCGCTGCTGCCAACGCCGCTGCCGCCGCCCCCCCTGCCTGCCCGTCCTCTGCTGCCTGCCCCTCGCTGCCTGGGCTGCTGGGCATGCTGCGCAGCGACTCGCGCCACATCAGCCAAGACAGGCAGCGGCGCTGGTACCTGAACAGTGTGCAAGAAAGGGAGGGAGGGTCCGCCGCCTCCAGCTGCCAGTCGGTGGGAAGCACCATGTCAAACACACGGTCGCGAAGGTTGCTACCGGGCTCTGCCACTGGCGCTGCATCCTGCTGCTGCTGCTGCTGCTGCCACCAGCCCTTACGCAGCTCGGCGGCAAACGGGGAGCCGTCGCTGGCATTGGCGCCGCAGCCCGTGGCGGCGGCCAGCTGTGCCCAGTGCTGCACCAGCACGGCCACGTGCACCGCCTCCTGCACAGCGACGCATGTGACATGCCGTGTCGGGAGAGACGACTCACAGCGGGCCAGACACAAACATGCGTGGTGCCTGCGTTGTTGCCGACCCCAGCTCGCATCCCTCTCACCTCTGTCTCAGGCTCCACTGCATAAAACGGCTCCAGAAGCTGGACGCCCAGCAGCGCCTGCAGCAGCTCCCCATCGCCCTCCTCACCCCCTGACAGCTGCACCGCATGCACGCTGCACTCCACAGCGCCGCCAGCGTGCAGCGCGGCGAGTGCAGCCGGCACGCTGCCGCGACGGCCCAAGTGTTTGGAGAAGAGTGAATTGCAGGAGCAGCGGTCCACTAGCTGCAGCTCCTTGGGCTGAAAGCAAAGTTGCAGGCTGTCGGCCTTGGGGGACACCCCGAAGCTGCCACCGCGCCTGCAGGCAGGTGGGGGAGCGCCGGCGGCAGGCGGCAGCAACCAAAAGGTCACCAGCGGCGATAGCTGCGCTTGCCCAGGGCATTTTCAGGCGAGGGTCCGCTCCCGTCTCCCTACCTGTGCAACCCCTCAAGCACCACTGGCTCCTGGGCCACCATTCGATCTCTTTGTACACTGCCTATGGCAGTCGCCACCTCCTCGCCTGCCACCTACACGCCCATCATATCGCCATTGGATATCGATGGGCGTCAGCCAACGCGCCGTGCACCACCTCCATGCCAGCAAGGCAGGGCGCGTTTTGACACCCTCTCAGCGTCCACCAGCGGCCCCCCATTCGGCCAGCTATTCAATTGGGTGAGCACAAGCTCTGGAGCGCCCCTGGCGCCATCCCGCACCCACCACGACAAGCCTCAAGCACAGCGCGCGCTGCTGCTGCAGCCAGCCAGGCGGCGCCCATGCACCGCTCATGGCAGCAGCAGCAGCAGCAGCGCGTGCAGTGGCCACAGCAGCCTGGCGGCCTGGTGGCCTGGCGCTGCCCCGCCACCGGCGGCGCCGACTCGTCACTCGCTCTGCAGCCAGCAGTGCCGATGACGAAGCAGGTGCGCATCCCCATCAAGATGTGCCTCGAGATCTGGTTTGTTATCTGCCCCGAAATGTCGTATCCGACCGTTTTGCTGCAGGCCAGGCCGACCTAGAGCGGCTCAACCGCATGCTAGCCGGGCCACAACAGATTTCGGGCACCGAGCTGCGCGACCTTGTCTTTGACAAATGGGGGCGAAACTACGATGTTAGACTTCAAGTAAGAAATTTTGTCGTGGCAACGTTCGCATGCGCTTGCCTTGTAGAGGTCAGCAAAACTGTGCCGCCTGCATGGCCCCGTGCACTAGTGTGAAAGACAATGTATATTAAAGCTCTTCTTGGCATGTTGACGTGCAGCGGCGCGGCCAGCGGATGTACCTCCATGTGCGTTCCACTGGTTTTGATTGGTGCCACATGTATCTGCCGGCTCCCTGCCCCATCGTGCTGCAGCGAGCGCAGGCATCACATTTTCCGTTTCCCTTTTTCCGCCTTTGTCAGTGTCGAGTCCTGCCTGCTTCCCCGTCCGTGCAGGTGATGTGGCGGTACCTTGAGCAGCAAAGCTTCCCTCTCACCGAACAGGAGTATCAGCTGCAGCTGGATGCCGTTGCAGAGTACTTGAACCTTTGGTGCGTGTTTTTGCTTTTTCCGCTGCCACCGTCGGAAGCCGGGATCTGGTGCCCAGCGTGCATTGCCGGGGGCATTGTTGACTCCCTTGCTGGGCCACCGCGCAGCCTGCAAGTCGTGCAGACAGCTTGGCAGCCAGCAGGCCCGCCGTCCTGCCTTCCCGCTGTCCAACACTTGTTAAAGCTGCCGCTCTTTGCGCTGTGCAGGTCGGTGCAAGACACGGTGCGCGCGGGCATTACCACAGCAAACAAGCGTGGGCCAGGCTACACCGGGGGCGGCAACGCCCGGGCCATCAGCATTCCGCTGGGAGTCGACGTGGGCGGCACGGGGCGGGCTGACGAATGGAACAGCTTCTGAGGCACCCGAGTCTGCTGCAGTCGATTGCGCGTCCCCCACTTTCGACACCCTGTACCATGCTTGTTTCGCGCCCCCACTGCCAGTCTGATACCATAGCGGACAGGTCCTAATTACATCTGATGTGGTTTCACTGAATTCTTTGTTAGTCTGTGAGAGAGCCAACAAGCTGCTGTGAGTGGCAACAAGCGAATATTAAAGTCCCAGGGTGCAGGGCTGCAAATGGCAGCGGCTGCCTGAGCAAGGCTGCCCGGCACGGAAGTGCGGGGCAGTGGTTCACGCAGCTGGTCTGGGGGCCTCCGCCCCGCGGAGCTGCAGAGCAGCGGGGCTTCCCATGCCCCCCAGCCAGCCAGCCACGCGGTCAGGCCAAGGCTCAGGCCATGAAGTCCCGGGGGTCTGCGACGTGGCCGGCGAGGGCGGAGGCGGCTGCGGTGTAGGGCGAGGCCAGGTAGATCTGGCCCTCCTTGTGGCCCATGCGGCCGGGGAAGTTGCTGCGGGCAGCGGGAGGGGCGGCGGGGCGCGGTGGGCGTGCAGAAGAGGTTGGCAGGCAGGCGTGGTGTGGGCCAGAGCCAGGCACGCGGCAGCGCCACTGCCTGCCCCACTGCCCCATCCCCAGGCAGGGGGTCGGCGCGTCCAGGCGGCAGCGGGCGCGGCGGGCGGCTCACCGGTTGGTGGTGGACACGCACACCTCCGGCTCGTTCATGCGCGCAAAGGTGTCGCGAGGGCCGCCCAGGCAGGCCGCGCAGCTGGGCGCCGCGGGCGTCACGCAGCCGGCGGCCTCGAAGATCTGCGCCGCCGTCTTGCCGTCGCAGCCGGGCACGGGCAGCGTGTACACGTCCCCCCACACCTTTTGCGTGGCGGGCACCAGGTAGGTGGGCACCTTGACCTCGCCCCCCGCGCCGTGCAGCAGCTTGGCGGCAGCCATGAAGTCCTCGGTCTTGCCGCCGGTGCAGGAGCCGATGTAGACGCGGTCAACCCTGACGTCGCGGCACTCCCGAGCCAGCTTGCGGTTGTCGGGGCTGTGCGGCGCCGCCACCACCGGCTCCAGCTTGCTCACATCAAACCGGTAGTCTGCATGGGGGCGAGGCACGCGGGGCAGGGCGGGGTGGGGCCGACAGCGCTCAGGACGAGCTCCGGCGCCTGTTGCGTGCCCCCCACCTGCCTGCCCATCCCGGCTCCAGCGCCACCAAACGGCACCCCTCCCTCCACAGCCCAACCCGCCAGCCCAGCCACCCAGCCCAGCCCCCACCCCCGCACGCACCCGCAAAGTAGGAGGCGGTGTCGTCAGAGTAGACGGCCTCGTAGGGCTCGCTGGTGCGCGACTCCACGTAATCAAAGGTGGTCTGGTCGGCGGGGCACACGCCGTTCTTGCCGCCCGCCTCCACCACCATGTTGCACACCGTCATGCGCTCCTCCATGTTCATCTGGCTCACCGCATCGCCCACAAACTCCATGGAGCGGTACGTGGCGCCTGCAGGGGGCGCGCCGGCGGGGGCCGGGCGGGGGCAGCAGGTGAGGGGGCGTGGGCGAGGGCGGCAGCGGATGGGTGGCGACCCAGGCAGCCGAGGCGGCCTGCCGCTGCACGGCTCCTGTGCTGCCGTGCCAGCACGCGGCCCCAGCCCCAGCCTGCCCCTCTGCCCCCTCACCCTCCACCCACACACACACACATGCACGCACACTCACAGCCTCCTTGGACACCTCCATGCCTCGCTCCCCACCACCCCCACGCACACCACACGCACCCCCTCACCCGCCACGCTGATCTCCCCGATGATGTGCAGGATGAGGTCCTTGGCCAGCAGCCAGGGCGGCATCTGGCCATCCAGCGCAAAGCGCATGGTGGGCGGCACCTTGATCAGCAGCTTGCCGGTGCCCAGGATGAAGCCGGCGTCGGTGTTGCCCACCCCCGTGGCAAACTGGCCAAAGGCGCCGGCATTGCAGGTGTGGGAGTCGGTGCCAAACAGCACCTCGCCTGCAAGTGGCCGGGCAGCAGGGGCGGGGGAGGCGTGTGTCAAACCGCCGGCAATGCCCAGCCACAGCGCCGCTCCCTTCACCAGCGCAGCCTGCCCTGCACACGGACGATGCCAGGCGGTGCCTCTGCCCAGGCCCTCGCTGGCCTTGCCGGCCCAAAGCTGGCCCTGCCACGCCAGGCCGGCACGCACCGGGCTTGCAGTGGCCCTCCTGCGCCAGCGCCACGTGGCACACTCCCTTGTAGTCGGGGTTGGCCCGGAAGTCGCCCCGGTCCTTGATGTCGTAAAAGTACTTGATGCCGTAGCGCTGCGCCACGTCGCGCAGGATGTCCACGTTGCGGTTGGCGCGCGGGTCGGCGGTGAAGATGTAGTGGTCCGGGATGATGACCACGCGCTCGGGGTCCCACACCTGCGGGGGTGGCGGCGTGCACGCGTGTTGCAGGGCAGGGCGCTCTCGGCGGGCAGCAGGCACGGAAGCCTGGCGGCGGCTGGCGGCTGGCTCGGTTTGGATTGGTTTTGAGGGGCGGGAATGGCAGGGCGCGGTGGCAGGAAGAAGACGCAACCAGACGGGACAGGGGGCCAGGTACCTGCGCCACCACCGCTGCTGCTGCTCCCTGCACGGGCTGCAGGCGGCCCCAGCTGCAGCCCGCCCATCCTCCCACCTGCACCCCTGCGTGAGGTCCCTGCCAGCACCACAGTGCCTCCCCGGCCCCGGCCCGGCCAAGCCCCCGCACCTCTGCCGCGTCTCCAAACTCCTGCTGGAAGATGCCAAAGGTGCCGGGCCCGCACACGTCGTGCGTCATCAGTTTATCCACCTTGGTCCACACATTGTCGCCAGGCGTCACAGACGCCTTGTCAGAGTGCTTGGCCAGGATCTTCTCGGTCATGGTCATGGCGCGCTTCACCTGCAGGGGGAGCAGCCGGGAGCGGAGTCCGCCGAATTGGGGTGACAGGCCGGTGGGAAGACGCTGTGAGCCCAATCACCAGCACCACCTATTGCACCACCCACAGCCGGGTAATCCTGCCTCGACTCAGGCGGCCACCCGCCATCAGGAGTGGGTGCAGCGGCGGCGGGCACACTGGCGGCAGGCAGCGGCGCCCCTCGGGCGGCGCCTACTCGCAGCGGCGTGGCCTGCTGCTAGCAATTTTGGCAGCTTGCAGGCGCCGTGGCAGCCTAGGCGCGCGCCAAAACCACGCTGCCAGCATGCACCGCTCACCGCGCCAGTGCTGGCTGGGGTCCTGGAGGGTGTGGGGGGCGCTGCCACGCACGACACCCGCGCGGGGCACCGCCCAGCGACGCCGCCGGGGGTGCGGAGGGCCTGGCGCTGCATCTGCATGGCCGGTGGCAGGCGGTGACCAAGGCTGAAACACTAGACAGGCTGAACACAATAGTCAGGTGACAATCCTTTGCAGACAGGCCGCCGGTTGGACTTGATCAAAAGTAGAGTGCCAGATGGACTCGTGCTGGACTTGGATCGGGACTTGCGGGGGTCTCCTTGCCAATCAAAGTTTGCCAGAGTGCGTTATGGTGATCAGGAATTGAAACGACGGGGCAGCAGGAGCAGTCCTGCTTTGGCGCTGGCGTCAAACATGGCGTCAAACAGCTGTGGCCACGGCTGAGTTGTGGTTATCCGAGGCAGAACCGAGGCAGAAAAACAAAATTGAAATGTGGATTAATGTGTAAACTACTATAAGCGTTGCTTCTTCATCTGCTGCTGCGGCGAGGATGCTTTTGCCGCTGCCCCTGCCGCCGCCTCCGCCTCCTGCTCGCCGCCGTCGTCATATCGCGCCACCTGCGACACAAACTCGTGGCGCTCCTCGCGGCGGCTGGCCCGCGCCGGCAGGCCGGCCAGCAGGTCTGCAGTGTAGGTAAGATCCACGGTGCGCTTGTCCTCATCCGCAGCATCGTGCAGGTGCAGGGTGATGCGGGCGCGCAGGGGCCCCTCGCGCCTTGCAGTGCGGCGCACGGAAAAGGGTGGCGCCTTGAGCGAGGCGGGCCGCAGATCGGGGTCCTGCAGCGCGGCGTGGCGGGGAGAAGCAGCCGTTTGCTCCATTCCATTCACGGGCGTGGCAATACATTGCAGCTCTGCCAGCGAACAACAATAGCAACGGGGTCCCGTCTGCTGCTCCCTCAATCCCACCTCGAACGAGATGTCCACAGCCTGCACCATGGGCATGGGGCACTTGGGCCCGTGGCTGCTCTGCACAAACAGTGAAAAGGGCATCGACACGCTGCCGCCTCTCCCCTCATCTTCGCTGCTGCTAGCTGTGCCTCCAACGCCATCTGCTGCCGCTGCTGCTGTTCCCGCTGCTGCCTGCTGGGCTCGCAAGGATCCGCTGCTCGCATCCGCTGCAAGGCCCAGCTCCGCCAGCTCCGAGCTCACGCTGCTGCTGTGCTGCTGGTGGCCCACCACCACGGCATCACGCCGCACGTATGGCGGCACCGCCAGCTGCAGCTTGCGCGCCAGCAGGCGCATGACCTCATCGCAGCGTGCATGGCACACCAGGCCCCCCGACTTGACTGCCTTGTTGTCATGCTGTGGGTGGGGATAAGTGGGGGGGAGTGTGGGTTGTGGGTGTGCAGGCCAGGGCAGCCCAAGAGCTCAGAAAACAGTCCAACATGCCGCCAGGGCCGTTCATCTCCCGCCTCACCTGCGTGCGCTGCAGGTTGACAATGACCAGCTGGCCCGGCTCCTGCTTCTCGCCGCCCTTGTACGTGCGCGTCGCCTTCAGCGGCAGGTTGCAGGCTGTGAGCACGGCAAGGGGAGGGGAGCATCCCTGGGCATGTGCTGGCGGACATCAACCATGCATTGTTTGGGTGCCCTCAAGCAGCATGTGCCCGCACCCACCGGGCGTGATCTGCAGGCTGGTGCCCAGGCAAATTGCCAGGTCTGCCTCCTTTGCATGGTCCTCTGCAAGTGGGGCGATCCCAGTAAAGTGCGGTGGCAACAAACCAGCGGCGTGCAGGCCATGCTGGTGCGTGCATCTGCACAGTCTTGCACAGCTGTGGCGATGCTAAGGACCAGCTGCTGTCTGCCGCACCGCCCCGAATAGCAGCAGGTGGCAAACAACCCGTGGCCACATGCATGCCCCACCCGACAGCTCCAGCTCATCCTCTGGCAGCGCATCCTCCCAGTCCAGGATCTGGTCCCGCAGAGATGCACTGCACCCCGGCTGAACCGGGCGCAAAGAGTGAAACAAACATTAGAGAGGCGCAAGCTCCGCACAACAAATCCATCCTGCCACCGCCGTCTGCGGCGCAGGCTGCCGTCTGCGGCCGGCGCCTCCCCCCTCCCCCACCTCGCACACACCTGGCTGCATTTGCGCCCCGTGCGCTTGAACCCCACCGTCTCCACCTCAAAGTCGCGCACATACTCGGTGCCGCACGCGTGGCAGCGCTCGGCAAAGCAGTTGCCGTGCAGCTCCGCCAGGCAGGCGCGCGGGATGCCGCTGCGCAGGTGCAGGCCATCCACGTTCTGGCTCACCAGGTAGTCCAGCTTGCCGGTCAGCATGAGCGCCGCCAGCACCTGCAGGGGCAAGGCACCCAGCGCACAGGTGGGAGCGCCGGCATGCTGAGGAAGCTGCACTAGGCTGGCAGTTGGAAACTATGCTGTCTCCAGAGTCAAGAGGGGCTGTGCAGCAGCACCCAGCACCCGCACCTGGTGCGTTAGGCTCGGCTTGGCGTGCGTGAAGGAGACCTTCGGGCGAGGCAGCGGCTGGCCTGCAGCGGTGGTAGCACAAGGCAGGCGGTTGCAGTGGGTTGGCTCAGCAGCAGCCTGCTCCCCCCATGGGCAAGAGAAAAAAACCCACCTGCACGCTGCAGTGTCCAGATGCCTTCTGGCCCCCGAAAATCTGGGATGCCACATGCTGTGCTGATACCGGCCCCCGTGAAAGCGATGATGCGGCGGGCACCGCGTACCTGCATCAAGCCAGCCAATGGTCAGCAAGGCATGAAGTACGCGGGTGGCCAGGGTGGACACGAGAAAGGAACCACCGGCTCACCAGCTCTGCCATCCGCTCTGCCTTGGCCTCCACCTCCTCTGGGCTGTCAAACAGCTCAGGGGCACCCAGTTGGCCGCCCAGGTCCTCGCGATACGACAGCTTAGACGCATACCCTAGCGACATGGCTGCTCTCTATCCGGCAAGCGCAGCTGCGGCGGCGGGGTTGGCGGCGGCGTTGGCGGCGACAACCACCCGAGCCTAGTGCCCTCAGTCGCAGGCCTAGTGCCCTCGGCCGATCCGGGATTGCATAAGTGTCCAGCTGCCAGTCGAACACTCCCAGCCAGTTGAAAACGCTCCTCAGGACAGGCGTTTGAGCGAGGCGATGGCCCCCGCCCGCTGCTGTTATTTTCTGCTCTTTTGTGGATGCCGAGTGACTTTGTAGTTGCTGCGAGGTGCGCCCGCGCTGCAGGACAAGCAGGACAAGGGGACTAATAAACCCATGCTCTCTCTGGCGAAGGCGTTGCTGTCCTATTCATCCGAGCATTGTTGTTGTGCAAGTATTGGGATTGGCTCCTGGCCTTCTGCATCCCCTCTTCTTGCTTGTGCCATCTGCAACTCAGGGGAAGGCAGGATGCCATCCGTGCCCGAGAAGTTGCAGGCGGCATGGGAGAAGGTGCAGCCGTATGCCAAGGTGAGAAGCCGCTGATGCTGCGTGCGCATACTGTGCCAGGCAGACCGCTGTCCCCAAGAGCTTGTGGGGAGCGATGGCGGCCTGGGCAGCAGCGTGTAGGCGCCCCCTGAGCTCGGCAGCACCTCCCGCCGCCGCTCACCCTGCCGCTCGCTTCTCCCGGCCTACAGACCGCACTGCACTGGGGCTACATTCCGGCGATCATCGCTGTAGGCATGCTGTACACCGAGCCGCGTCCGTCATGGGGCCAGCTCCTGGGGCCGATGTAATCTGGTCACCCAGCTCCTGTTTGCTTTTGTTGCTGTCTCTTCCCCGCTACAACTCCGTGTGTTTTTTGCTGCAACCTTACAGCAGTTGACAGAGGATGCAGCCACCCTTTGGTTGAATTCGTTGTAACAATTGACAGGCATTGGCATCACGGAAAGTGAAAAAAAAGAAAAGAACAATGGGTTGGCGGCAGAGCAGAGCAGCAGGAGGAGAAGCAGCAGCACTAGGAGAGCAACAGCATCAAGAGTTGTGACAGTGAGGTGAAAGGGCTGTCTAGATGTCGCTGACGTCGCAGGGCTGCAGCGCCATGTGCATGCGCTCCAGCGCCCGCTCCACGCGCCCCCGCAGCTCTGCGTCTGCGCACTGCACCTTGCCGCTCTTGGGGTTGATCACCACGTGCTGCCCATTCACCTCCACAAACACCAGGCCCTGCAGTTGTTTTTGGCGGCAGCAAGGATGGTTCTGCCCTTGCCAACATCAGCGGTCACGCATGGCTAGCGTCCAGGGCCCGCTGGTGCCACCCCCCGCTGCCTGCGCACTACACCCACCCACCTGATCTGCATCCAACCGCGCCGGCCCAAACTGCGCGTTCAGCAGGGCTGTGATGATGCCCAACTCGGCGGCGGCCACCGCCTCCAGGTCCCCAGCCTTGAGCGCCTGGTGCCGCTGCACCTCGATAGCGGGCAGGCCGGGCGGCTGGCCCGCCGCCTGCAGCACCACAGCTACCACAGCATCCGCCACCATGTCGGCATCGCTGCCACCGCACCACTCCAAGATTGCGTGGCCGCTGCTGGCGCCGCTGGCCGCCTCGACTGGCTGGTAGGTCAGCGTGACTGCGTCGCCGATGCGCAGAATCTGGCCGCCCTTGGTCGGTGACCCTCCAGCAGCATCCACGCGCCCCAGGTCTCCCGCACCCTGCGTGCCTTCAAACATCATCTCTAGCGCCAGCCGCACCTGCAGGGGTAGGAGCCATGTCAGGCAGGCAGAAGGGCCAGCAAGATAGCCTCACAGCCAGACTGGTGACTGGCATATGCAGCTGGCCACCACAACCTGGAGCCCCAGTCCGACACGAGCGCACCTCTGAGAAGGGGCGGTGCAGGGGCATAGCCTGCCGCTGCACCACGCGCCCTGGGTGCAGCTTGGTGAAGCGGGGCAGGTCATCGTGGTGCATGAGCGTGCGTGCGCCGCCGCGAGACTGCACCAGCAGGCCGCGCACCGCCGCGCCCTGCGCTGGCGCCTTCTCTCCCAGCCGCCCCACCGCCTTGGCCGTGCGCTCCGTGCGGTGCTCAATCAGCACCGGCTGCGTGACCTTAGGCATGTAGAGGGCGCGTGGGATGTTGAGTGCCGCCGCGTGCTGCTCCAGCGCCTTCTTCAGCCGCCCCATCTCTGTGGCCTCGCCATGCACCAGCACCACGTGCGGCGGCTGCAGCGCATCCAGGAACTCGCTGGTCTGAGGGAAGTCGGCATGAGCGGAGAAGGAGATAGCATCCACTTGCATGCGCAGAGGCACCTGCAGGGCAGGGGGGCAGGGGTCAGGCAGGGAGGTGGTGCAGGCGAGGCCAATGCATGGACACAAGGAGGCAAGCAGATGGCAGCTGCCAGGCTACAGTTGGGCTACTGGGCTGGAGGCTGGCATGCAGCAGCGGCGTCGGTGGCAGGTCCCAATCCGCCCAGCCCTGCCACAAGGCGCTGCAGCACCACCCACCTTGACTCCATTGCGCGTCATCACTTCTGACGGGTTGCCCAGAATGTCGCGAGCCAGCGTGCCCTGTACCGCAAAGTCGGCAATCACCACACAGTTGCGAGCGTCCTCGCACCATGCCTCAAAGAGCTCCCGGGACATGCCGCTCTGCAAGGGACAGGAGAGGGCGAGGGGGAACACAGCAGATGGACTCGGTGTGCTGCCCTGATCTGCTGGTCTGTGCCTGCCTGCCTTCCTGCCGGCCTGGCTCCCCCTATCTCAACCCCTCCTCCACCCCACCCCAGCCTTGCCTGCAGCATGGAGGGTGTGGCCATGACCACGCAGGGGCCCACATCATCAAAGTGCGCCGCTGACTTGAGGTGGGAGATGTGCTTGAACTCAAAGGGGTTGGCCACGGTGAAGGCGCGCTTGATGTCCTCGTTCATCATCTCGATGTACGCCTTGTACACGCTGATGGCGCGACGCGCCAGACCGCTAGCCTGCGGGGGTGGGGGTGGAGGGCGTGGCGGGGGGTGTTGGCAACAGGAAGGGATACATAGGCCCTGGTGGATGGGTAGAGGGCAGCGGGAGCCCAGCAAGCACCGTGGCCTGCAATGCTGCACTCAGGCCAAGACCAAACAAGGGCTCACCGTGTCCGGCCCAGCCACCAGAGCCCCCCGGTTCCCACCCCCATGAGAACCACCCAGCCCATCCCCCGGAACACACACCTGGTAGATGGGCACCCCATGCAGCTCCGGGTGCCGCTCCCAGTACTCCTCCAGGATGAGCAGCAGCTCCTGGGCCCGCCCCAGCGCCACGACCGGCAGCAGCACGCGCCCTCCGCGTGCCACCGCGGTGTGTATGCGCTGCACAAAGCGCTGCTCGCGCTCCTCGCGCGGCAGGTGGCGCGACACGCCATACGTGCTCTCCACCACCACAATGTGCGGGCGCTGGGCGGGCAGGTCGGCGGCGGGCATGTGGCGGTCAGGGATGCGCGAGTAGTCGCCCGTGTACAGCAGCCGCATGCCGCCAACCTCCACCATGAACATGGCGGCGCCCAGCACGTGCCCCGCTCGGTACGCGGTGACGCGGATGCCATCCAGGTCCACAGTCTGGTGGAAGTCGATGACCTCGGTGCGCTCCATGGCGGCGTCCAGGTCGCGCTCGCTGTACAGGCCCTCGCCTGCGGCAGGAGAAGGGGCGGGGAGAGGGGAAGGTGGAAGGTGGCTGGGCAAGGAGCGGGATGCATTGAGGGCAGGGCTGATGATGGCGCTACCCGTGCAACCAGCCCGGCTGCCGGCACCGATGATGTAACCCACGCATCAGAGACCCCGCCCGCACCCCACCCTCTCTCACCTGAGCCTCCCTTGCTGACTTTGACAAAGTCCTTGAGCAGCGTGTGCACGATGGCCTTGGTGGGGTGCGTCATGAGCACGCGGCCCCGGAAGCTGGTGTGGCCGGTGACGTAGGGCACCGCAGCGCAGTGGTCCAGGTGGAAGTGTGTGACCAGCATGGCGTCCACCTCGGACAGGTCCACCTCGTCAAAGAAGGGCAGCGAGGCGATCCCGAAGAAGCCGGGGTGCACTCCGCAGTCCAGCATCACCGTCTTGCCGCAATAGCGCACGATGATGCAGGAGCGCCCCACCTCCTGCCCCGCGCCCAGCGGCAGAATCTGCGCAGAGAAGAGTGGATGCGGGAGAGGCGTCAGGGGCGGGGCAGGGTGGAGGCGACTTGGGTTAGTAGGCGGCGAGGCGGAGGAAGCGCCGCCCGCCCGCCCGCGCAGCCTGGTCTGCAGCCCATGAACCCGCGCCGCGAGCTTCTGGGTCCCCACCTGCACTACACTGTCATCTGGCGTCCCATCCGCGTCGGACTTGCGTTTCTGCGGGAGTGTGGAGGCCGCTGGCGCCATGTCGGCGCCTGCCACAGTCGCCCTTTGCCTGCTGCACCTGATGTGTGGATTTACGAAGAAGAGTAAGAAGGAGCGTCGATTGCTCGCGAAGCCGGCACACGCCGGTACACTGTACAGCGCACAGGCGGAGCTGCGGATCACCTCACCCCCCTCCAGTGATCAGGGCGCAGCCAAGCGATCAGCGAGTGTTTTAGGACCATCGAGCAGCGCTAACGCCAGCTTTCTCAGTCAACCAAATGGTGAGAAGGTGATCGCTGGCCAGACGCCATGGCTCCCACCCCTTCGGAGCTGCCCAAGAAGAAGACGTTGAAGGTCGAGGTGCGCCCAGCCCAAACTTGCGGCACCGGCTGGCGGTCTGTTTCCAGCAGTGGCTCTGTTTGCTGCCCACGGGCAGCAAAGTGAATAGCAATTGGCGGGGTGACATACAGCCTGGCCGGCGCGACATGTAGCGGCTGCCTGACCTGCCGCAGCTGGCGAGCGCCGCCCACTCTGACCCCGCTTCCACTGCCGCGCAGGTGCCAGAGGAGGAGGCGCTGCAATTTGGGGTGCAACACGATGAGCCGTCGGCCCATGGTTCTGCTTCCTCTGCGTCCCGCAAGTACAGGTGCGGGGAGTGAGGCGAGGCGTTGGGTGCTGCCTCGGCCACTCGCCACCATCGGTTGTGCAACCCGTCAATAAAGCTGAGCTGCTCGCTATGTCGCCCTCACTCTCCGCTGTCCAGCACCCATTTGCTCTGCATCTTCCTGCTGCACTCACCGGATGCAGCCCTGGCGCCATGATCCGGGAAGCCGCTTCATGGGTGGGGCTGACGCGCACGCCGCGCACTGGCGGCCGCGTCAGTGTCAACCCTCTGTCGCGAGCTGCTGGGGACGCGAAGTACGCAACCACCAAATCACTGAAGGAGGGGGACAGGACAGGGTCCAAGGTACGGTGTGCTAGCTATACTTTAAGCTTCTCGCAGGCGGGCTAGTTTGGCAGCACAGGCACCTGTGCCATGCGCAGCTACCTGAAGGCATCCCGCTGTTGCACCCGCAGGAGAGCGATTTGGGGGCAACCGGCGTGGAGCATGTGGAGAAGACGCGCATTGTCTATATCGACCCGGCTGCGCAGAAGGCGGCGGGCCAGGAGTTTGTGTCCAACCGCGTGGTCACATCTAAGTACAATGTCATCACCTTCCTGCCCATCTTTCTGTTTGAGATGTTCTCCCGCGTGGCCTACCTCTACTTCCTGCTCCAGGTGTGCTATCCTGACATTGAAGCGGGCGGGCAATGCAAGGAAGCAGAACAGGAGCAGCAGAACAGGGTTGCCCGCCCAGCCTTGCTGCCTGGTGTTGCTGCGGAAACAGGCATGCCACCCTGGCCTTACCCAACTCTTCTGTTCCCTGTCACAGGCGGGCCTGTCGTGGTGGAGCGTCATCTCGCCTTTTAGCGGCTATGGCTCCACCGCCGCGCTGGTGTTTGTGCTGGCAGTTGCGGGGGTGACATCTATCTGGGAGGACGTGAAACGGCACCAGGAGGACAAACGCATGAACACCAGCATCACCCACAGGCTCAGCCCAGACGGTGCGTGCCCGCTGCTGGAAATCGCCTGCTGCAGCTGTGCCTTCTGCTGGCCGCGCTGGTCCAGCACCCACATGCCAGCGTTGAACAGCTGCGATCGGCTTGCCAGTGCGGGAGCACCCACCTGAAGGTTCATCCCTAACCTGTTTGGCAGCGCATTTGCTTGTGCACCTGCAGGCGATGTCAAGGACATCCCATGGACGGATGTGCGGGTCGGTGATGTGATTGTGGTCAGGGACAACGAGCTGTTCCCTGCCGACCTCATGTGCCTTTACTCTTCGCTCCCCGAGAACGTGTGCTTTATCAAGACCACCAACCTGGATGGCGAGACCAACCTGAAAATCAAGAAGCCACTGGACCTCAAGGGCCTGCCGGTGGGTGGGCGGGCGGAGGCCCAAGTAGGCAGCTTTGATGCTGGTGCTGCCATGGATGCAGGCGCGTGTCTGCTTGCCTTCCTGCTCAGTGTGCCCGCCTACTGTCCACCCCCTGCAGGTTCCGGAGGTGAAGGATGTGATGGCGCTGCAGCTGAACCTGACTGCAGAGGAGGCCAACAAGAACCTGCACAAGTTCAGGGGCAAGGCGCAGCTGGTGGACGAACGCTTCCGCGACATGCCGCTCAGTCCTGGGGCGAGCGCGGGAACGAATGGCACAGGTGTGTGGTAGCCTCACTTTCCTCTCAGCCTCCCAGGCAGGATGCTGATCATGGCTGCTGCTGCTTGCTGGCCCTACGTATCCCATGCAGACGGGCCCAGCAACTCCGTGGAGATCCCGGTGACCATGAACGAGATGCTGCTGCGTGGCTGCATGCTGAGGAACACCGAGGTGACTCTGCATCCATGACGCAGAGGGGGCATGTAGCCGGCCTCTGCTGTGTGGGAGCTAGGCGCAGTGAACAGCTGTCCTAGCACCTCTCCTGTGCGTGTGTGGCTGCAGTACATTGCTGGCATGGTAATCTACACCGGCAAGGAGACGCGCATCCAAATGAACGCCGCCAAGACGCCGCTCAAAGTTGGTGAGTCGTATCCCCACTGCCGCTTTCACGAACCTGCGTTAATCTTTCATGCACTCTGCTGGCCATTGTCGTCCTTGCATGCCCGTCCTTGCCTCCCACCACCCCCGCTGTGCGCACTGCGCCTCCCCTGCAGGCTCCTTTGACCTCTTCCTCAACCTTCAGATCGCGCTAGTCATCGCCATGCAGCTGGCCATGTGCCTGTTCTGCGCCATTGCCAACTATGTGTGGATCCAACAGGCCGGCAAGAAGCGATACTACCTTGTCCTGGAGACGTACGTGGAAGGCAACTGGCAGAACGCGGGCGCCCAGATCTGCCTTACCTTCCTCACCTTCTGGATCCTGCTCTCCTACCTCGTCCCCATCTCCCTCTTTGTCACGCTGGAGATCGTCAAGTTTGTGCAGGTGAGGGCATGGTGGGGCGCATCCTGGCTCACCTGCCAGACCTGCCAAAGGAGTTACCTGTGCGGGGAGGGCGCTGGAGGGCTGTGATGGCTACTGGAGGCGAGGTGCAAACATTTCCTGAGCTGCCCCCGCCTATCGCAGGGCTTAGGCTTCATCAACTTTGACCGTGACATGCGCGATTCCAAGACCAAGGCTTGGGTGCGCTGCCGCAACTCCAAACTTAACGAGGACCTGGGCAAGGTTCGTGGGGCAGGCTGGATATGTGGGGGGCCAGGGCCAGCAGCAGGGGGGTCAATCAGCCAGCGTGTGCCCTGTCACCAAACACCGCAGCATCACACACACCAAAGTACTGTACCCTCCATGCTGCTGCGCCGTGCAGGTCGAATACATTTTCAGCGACAAAACAGGCACTCTGACGTCCAATGAGATGCAGCTGCGCCAGATCGCGGTCAAGGGCGTGGCCTATGGCAGTGCCGACCTGCGCCTGGAGGAGCACATGGACAAGACGGGCCTGCGCGGCCTGCGTCTCTTTGACCACCGCCTGTACAAGGCGGCCGCCAGGGTGCAGCGCTCCTCCTCCTGGAGTGGCCTCATCACGGCGGGCGGCAGCCGCGGCGACATCATGGCGCACCCCACCAGCTTCCCCAACCTCGAGTCCGCAGGCTCGCTGGGGCTGGAGGCAGGCGGCGAGGAGGGGGCTGGTGAGGAGTACGCGACCAGCTCGCCTCCAGGTGCGCGCTTCTTGGTTTCTCTGCAGCCCTGTGCAGATGCTGCGACTGCTGGGTGTGTGCTGACGGGAGCTGGATGCTGATGGGGGCGCTTCCTTCCACCCATGTGCTGCAGCAGGCCAGAAGCACGACTGGGATGAGGGCAGCACCGCGCTGGGCCACCACCTGATCGACTTCTGGACCAACATCTGCCTCTGCCAATCTCTCATCCTGGAGAAGAACCCACTGGGTGGCCTCGACTTGTACCAGGTGAGCGCAACACATGGGCAGCCACGCGGGCAGGCATGCCGGCACCGCACGTGCGCGTTGTGGTCGCCCAAAGCAGCGCTGGCCTCTGCTGCACAGTCTCAACTTGCCCCAGCCTTCACTGTCCGCTGTTTTCAGGGCCCCTCTCCCGACGAGGTGGCGCTGGTGGATGCTGCGAGGCAGATGGGTTTTGAGTTTAAGGAGCGCACCCAGTCGGGCGTGAAGCTGGACATGCTGGGGGAATTGGTGGCGTACGAGGTGCTCAACGTGATGGAGTACAGCTCAGACAGGTGCGGCACGGCGCAGGAGGCAGCATTTCAATGCGGATGGTGCCGATGGCAATGGTGGTGTGACCAGCAGGTTGCCGGCAGTTGTGTGCCGTCCCGCTCACCCAGCTCCTGCCTGCATGTCCCCCTTGCCTCTCGCGCAGGGGCTGCATGAGCGTGGTTGCACGCGCCCCCGACGGCACCATCCGCCTCTACTGCAAGGGCTCTGATGCCAAGGTGATGAAGAAGATTCGTGGCGACACTCCCGCCGACCTGATGGACAACACCAATGCCAACCTGCACTACTTTGCCAAGCAGGCACGCTGCTGCAAGCGCTGCTGGCTGCCATGCATCCAGACTCCCTACCCTGCCGTGATGTTTGCCCAGCCAGCGCTTTGTGCCGCCTGCCCAGCGTGACCCAGTGTGCTCGGTGTGCGCCTGCAGGGCCTGCGCACGCTGGTGCTGGGCACCAAGATCATCCCCAAGGAGCAGTACCAGGCCTGGGACCGCGAGTACCAGGAGGCGGCTGCCAGCTTCTCGCAGCGTGACGAGAAACTGGAGAAGCTGGGCAAGGAGATTGAGGAGGGCCTGGAACTGATTGGCGTGACTGCCATCGAGGATAAGCTGCAGGTGGGGCGGCGGCTATGCCTGGGTACAGCCACCTGCAGCTTGCAGCGGCAGTATCGTGCAGCGGGTTTCTGACCCCTGTCTATAGCCATACAGAGGCTGCTGACGCCACTCACCAGCTTACCGTAACCGTCGGCTGTCTGCCTGACCTGCCATGCAGGAAGGCGTGCCTGCCGCCATCCAGACGCTGCTGGACGCCAGCATCCGCGTGTGGATGATCACGGGGGACAAGCAGGAGACGGCGGTGAACATCGCGGTGTCCTGCCGCCTGGTGTCCAACCCAGACGACGTCATGATGCTCAATGTGGACGAGAAGGCCACCAGTGAGTGGCGCTTTTTGGGGGGCAGGCACTGGCCTGCACGCCTGGGACCTGGGCAGCCATCCGTGGGCAAACAGGGGGCGGTCCTGCATCCGCGCTTCACATGTCTGCCGCGCGCACGCTGTCGTTGACGCCCCCTGGCTTCCCCTGTATGCAGCCGCTGCCACGGATGCCGACGAGCTGCTTGATTCCTTCCTGCGCCGCGTGGCCGCCCTGTACGAGCACGACACCGGGGCAGAGGTGTGGAGATGAGCCATGCTGCTGCCCCCCACTGTTTTAAGCCTGGCTTCCAGCGGTCAGAAGCAGCTCGTTTCGGCTGCCCAGCTCATTGTGGGCTGGCCTCTCCCCCGCCTGCAGCTGCCGTCCATGGACAATCCTGTGGAGGCTGTCGCTACCATCCATTCTGAGTGGCAGAAGGCTGAGCTGGCAGTGGATGGCCCCACTCTCAACTTTGTGCTGGCCGACGACGCGATGCGGCACAAGCTGGCGGTGCTGTCAGCGCACTGCAGCGGCGTGGTGGTGAGCCGCTCCTCGCCATCACAGAAGGCCGCCATCGTGCGCATGATGACCAAGTACGAGATGTGGAAGGCGGCGGGGAGCACACGCGGGCTGCGCCGCTGGTACGCCATGCACCGCCGCAGGCTGCAGGTGAGCTTTCGCGGGGGTCTGGGCTGAGCAAGAGGGGGAGGAGGACCAGCTGGCGCAGGCAGGCAGCCACCATTGCTCTGCATGTAGGCCCTGATTTGCTCCCTGCCTTCTCCCACACCCGGCTTGTGCTTCTGCGCTGCAGGGCAAGATGCTGTCCATCGGCGACGGCGCTAACGACGTGGCCATGCTGCAGACGGCAGATGTGGGCATCGGCATCATGGGCAAGGAGGGGCGCCAGGCGGTGAACAACTCAGACTACGCCATCGCCCAGTTCAGGTGGGCAAGGTGGAGTGGTGACCAGTCAGCCAGGAAAGCGGACATCAAACCACGCCCCACAACACTGCTCCCCTGGTGCTGCCCGCAGGTTCCTGGTCCCGCTGCTGCTGGTGCATGGCAACCTGTCCTACTACCGCCTGGCCCGCCTCATCAAGTACTCCTTCTACAAGAACATCACCTTTGCCTTCGTGCTCTTCTACTACCAGTTCTACGCCGGCTTCTCGGGGCAGGCCCTGGTGGACTCCATCACCGCTGCCGTCTTCAATGTCGTCTTCACCTCTCTCCCCATCCTCTTCTTCTCCATCCTGGACCGGCCCGTGAAAAACCTCAAGGCCCTTGTGCGCTACCCGCAGGTGGGCAGCGGGTTGCCTGGCTGCATCGCTTGCTGCCTGCCATGGCTTTGGGCCCTCCAGCACCCGATCCCGCCCTGCTGCCGCCTGCCACCCTCCCTCAACCCCTCCCACTCCCCACCCTGCCTGCAGCTGTACAACAAGCGCCACTCTCGCTCACTGACCACGCTGACCTTCTGGAAGACGGGTGTGCTGATGGGCATGGTGCACGGCGCCGTCTGCTTCTTCATCCCCTACTACTCCCTGGCCACCAGCGGGCGCCACAACATCACCGACGTCTACTCCCTGGGCAAGGTGGCCTTTGTGGCGCTGCTGGGCGCGGTGACGCTGGAGGTGGCGCTGGTGGCGCGCTACTGGACCTGGCTGTTTGGGGTGCTCACCCTGCTCTCCTACGCACTCGTCTACCCCTACCTCGTCATCTTCCCGCTGGCAGGTGCGGTGGCAGGGGAGGGCAGGCACACAGCTGCTTGCCTAGCAGCCGCCTGCTGCTGCTTGCGCTGCTGTGCCCATGGTACAGATCGCAGTGACGCTCTCTGATTGTGTGCTCTCTGGCCTCGCATCGACTGCCCCTGCCCCGCTTGTCCTCCCGTCGCCTGGCCCTGCCCCACTTGTCCTGCAGAGCTGTGGGTGGGCTTCTACGACCCCTCCAACATCGGCGTGTCTGACGAGGTGCTGGCAAGCGCCACCTTCTGGTTTGTCATCCTGGTCTGCTACGTGATCACCTTTGGGTCCCGCTTCCTGGAGCGCACAGCCAACTGGGCCTTCAAGCCGCAGGACTCGTACATCCTGTCGGAGAAGGTGCGGCAGGCGGTCGACGCACTGTGACAGCACTGCGGCATGGCAGGGCCTCCATACAGCTTAGCATTGCACTTTTCCCCACCCAAGCCTCTCGCTTGCTGCTGCTCTTCTGTGGCCTGCAGGAGCGCAAGGACGGGCTGATGGAGGACATGAGCGCCCCCACCCGCAAACGCCTGGCCGAGCTGGGCACTGTGCGGCTGCGCAGCAGCAGCAAGGCTGTGGCAGACCTAGAGCGGGGTGCCGACGAGCTGTCGTCGAGCGACGTGCCGCCGCTGCGTGCGCGCTACGGCAGCGGCGCCTCGCAGCAGGTGAGCAGGGAGGCGGATGGCGAGGGCCTGGACACCGTGGGCAGCATGGGCAGCCCGCCTAGCGCGCTGGAGGTGAGCCACGACGGCAGGCCCAGCAACATGCAGGAGTGGGATGCGCTGGGGGCGCGGCCGTCCTCCATGGTGCGCTTTGCCACGCACGCCCGCAGCGCCAGCGGCACACAGTACCCCCTGCAGCGATGAATGTGAGATATAATTCCTGCCCCGCATTATTTTTTCACACGTGTAAGAACAGGACCGCAGTGTTTCTGGCCCTCGTGGCAGCTTTGGCGATGGGCGGGCGATGAGGACTGCTGTCGCGTCCAAATTTCGCCAATCAGCTGGCGATGGCACATTGAGGATTGGCGAAATGCGGGGGAGCCACCCTTGCGCCTGGCACAGCGCAGCGGCCACATGCGGCGCCGCTGTTGCTTTGTCGGCACTTGCCTCCCTTTTGGGGGACTGGGGGCGAAGCCCCCAGCAAGCTGGCGCTTGTTTAACACTATGGAGTGAAGTTCCTGAGGAAAATTGGCCATTTCTCCTCAAAATATTGGCGATGTCAGTCATGGGGGCTGGCGACGCGCTGGCGATGTCGCCCCGCCGCCTGCCCTCATTTAGCCAGCCCTGGCTGGCGATGGCCTTCGGCCAATCGCCAGCCAGAGCCGTTTTTTGGCCCGATTTCGCCAGCATTTGGCGATTTCGCCAGCTTTCAGAAACACTGCAGGACCGCCACTCGGCGCCTCGCTGGCGCCGCCCATGTGCTGTGGAGGATTGTTTCGGAGCAGCCTGGTTCCTCTCGCATGTGTTTCGTGACATAGATACACTCAGATATCAGAATAAACCGCTAGGCAGAGCCAAACAGTGGCTCCCTTCTGCTTCTGCATCCTTCAAGCGCAAATTCCGCCGAGAGAGCACCAGTGTCAGGCGGAGTAGGGCAGGAGGTCCGCTATGGAGCCCACGCAACCACTGGGCGTCGCCGCCACCGCCGCCGCCGTAGAGAGCTCCTGGGGCGCTCTCACCCTTGATGTTCTTCAAAATGTGGTCCACACCATTGAAGTCTTGCCTACCCACCAAGCCAACCGGAGTCTTGCAGCTCTTCGGCAGCTGAACCGGCACTACCGAGGGGCCGTAGACGCCGCTCGCCACCACTGGGCGGTGCGCCCCCTGCAAACTGAGCAGGTCTGTTGTTGACTCCTGCCAGATTTTTGCCATTTTGACATTGCATTGCCCATCCCTAGATGGCTAGCTTGCTAGCACGTGTCCCCCGCAACCAACCATAACTGCCCAACCAACCCCGCTCGCCGCCCATCCCCGCAGGTGCTGGTAGGCGCACTGCGGAACTGGGTGCACCTGCGCCAGCTGGAACTGGAGGAGAGCGATCTGGGGCCTCTTGTGCTGGATGCCCTGGTGGCCTGCCGGCAGCTGGAGACGCTCAGGCTGACTGCATGTGCGCTGTTGTCGCCCCGTGTGTTTGTGGCAGCGGCCCACTTGCCCTCCCTGCGGCGCCTCGACATTGAGCTGAGCGGGAGGCTTCCTTTTGGAGCCAGCCTTGCTGCCCTGACGGGCTGCACGGCACTGACGGCTCTGACATTGAGCCAGTTCCATGGCGAGGTGGGTGGGGAATTGATGACCAACATGCATGGGCTGCCCTGGGCTGTGGCATCACGATTCCGTCGCCTCACAATCCCTGCCTGTGCAGGATATAGCACTCGAGGTGGTGCAGGTGGTCAAGGCAGCCACCGGCCTGCGCCATTTAGGGCTCAACCGTGCGGTGCGGACAGTTGGTGAGCCTGCCGGCATCGCCATGTCCAGAGGGTGTGTTTGCCCCAGGTCGCCAGCACATTAGATAAACTTGTTCCACTCTCCCATGCAGCGGCGCAAGCCCAGCAGGCGTTCGACATCGGCCATTTTGCAAGGCAGCTCACATCTCTCATGCTGAAGTGCTCGTTCACCAGCGATGACGCCTTCTGCCAGCTTTTTGCGCAGCTCACCAACCTGAGACGGCTCGACATCTCCGGTGCGCTCTGCTTAATCAGCTGGCAGCGGGCCGGGAAGGAGGGGGGAGGGGAGCGGAACATGCGCTGCCTGATGAGTCAGCTATTCCTTGTATACACAGCGGACAGCTATAGGGCACGTGCACCATGCACCAACCTGCTGCAGGCAGTCGTAAGCTCACGGATGATGGCTTGCGGGGCATCACAGCCTTGGCTGCCAGTCTGACTGCGCTGGTTTTGCAGGGGGGCCACAGTGTATCAGAGGATGGGGCAACAGCACTTTGTTTCCTTACAAACCTGCGTTGTCTGGACCTGGCTTACAGGTGGGCTGGCCCTGCTTGTTCCAGTCTGCCATGCCAATCCATTGCTGGTGTGTGTTGCCAGCCAGGGAAGATAATGTGGCAGTTGGTCTGAAACCGCTCCCTCGTGCCTGCTGCTTGTGTCACCCAAATGTAGCAACGCGATGAGCGGCGATGCGTCGCTGCCTATGATTGCTGGAGCTCACCAGCAGGCAAATCGTTTTTGTAGGCATGCAACTCTGGTTGCTCCTCTGCTTGCTGACATGTTTACGTCTTTATGTGCAGCTGACGGAGATTGATGTTCGTGGTTGCCCTCGGGCATGCACCCCAACCGCATTCGGCCACCTCTCACGACTGCACCACCTGCGCCGTCTGAGGTGCGGTGGCACAGCGCTCCTTGGTGCGGCGTGGTCCTAGCGGCGCTGCTGCTTTTATTGAGCGACCTATCACGCTGCATGCAGTGCCCAAGGGTGCCGTCTGCAGCCGGATGCCATCACAACCTTGGCAGCCATCACCACTTTGACGCATGTGAACCTGGCCGACAATCCCTCGCTAGGCGACGTGGCCGGGTTGCGCACCCTCAGGTGCTTCGCATGGGCACACACGTGGCATGCATGTGGCCATGCTGGCACACGTGCAACGAGGTGCATGCATGTGACGTGCATGACGCCCAGCTGTATGGTGCAGGGCGCTCGAGCTGCTGGATGTCAGCGACTGTGCGCTGTCGGACGACCAAGTGGCGCCGCTGCTGGCCAGCTTGCCGCAGGTGACCTTTCACAAGTCGCGCCCCTGCCATCTGAGCCTGTTTTTCGTGTGTTCAGACCAAAGAATGCCTCCCTTGGCCTTGCCATGCTGCAGTTGCGGACAGTGATCATGGGAGGGAATCCACTGCTGACTGGCGGTGCTCTCCAAGCGCTGGCGGCAGGGCCGGCACGCACTAGCCTGAAAACCCTGGTGGCCTCCGGGCTGCAGCTGGAGAATGAGACACTGGAGCAGGTGTTGCCTCAGGTAGGCATTTTGTGAGACAACAGGTGCAGCTGCTGCGCCGGTCCGTGGCACTAAGATTCTCTGTGGCATCGCTTTGTCCTGCAGTTGTCTGCCCTCTGCACTCTGGACGTGTCGGGCAACCAATCGCCTTTGGCGCTCGACATCCTGCTGGCTGCCGCCCGAGCCGCACCTTCACTGCACACCCTCGTGTGCTACGGACTCGAGTCGTCCTGGACCTCAACCCAAGGGTTGCACGACCTGCGAACGGCAGGCTCTGGCTACTCCCCTCTCCGCATCGTGATGTAAGCTGAGACAGGGAGGGAGGCATTATCAAAATGTCTTATATTCAAGCTGTTCTGGGCTGGCTTCCATTCTTGTATTTGGTAAGTTTCAGAACCATTGGCTTTTGAGCATTGCTCCTGAGCTCACAGGCACACCATCGAGATTCTGCCCCTACTCGTCCAGATCCAATTCATCCACTTCGCCAAACACAGCACCGTCGAAAGCAGCAGTGCCGGGCGGCTGGCCCTGGTACTGTGGTGGGGGTGGCCGGGCAGACGGATCAGTGCAGTGCCGCTTGGATGCATGCACTCCGTGCAGCAGCTGCCCCTGCTGCTGGTTATCCACAGTGGGCTGCCGCTCTGACAGCACGGGTCGCCTGCAGTTGGCGCTGGGTTGCTGGCTGGGGCCGAGGGCAAATGGGTCAAACTCTGCCTCTGCCAGCAGCCCTTGCAGCCAGCCTGCCGGTGCTCCGACCTGCTGCCGAGAGGCTGCTGCTGCGGCTGCTGCCGGGGACAGCTGCGAGCTAGCGTCCTGCTGCTGCTGTAGGTGGGCAGGAAGGCTGGTTGCATCGTCCTGCCATGCCTGGCGCTGCTGCTGCGGCGGCGGTGGTGACAAGCTGGGCATTGAGAAGTTGACAGACTCACTGTTTGCTGGGACCTGCTGCTGCTGCTGCTGCTGGGTGCCTGGTGCGGCAGCAGTCCGGGCCGGCAGTCCTGCTGAGGGCGGCGGCATTTGCTGTGGGGGCTGCCCAGGCGGTGCCCCACCTGGCACTGTGACGATGGATGGCCACACACAGTTGGAAATGGGTGGCAGCCTAGCATGCTGCACAGTATGAGCGCCAGCCAGCTGTGGCACCCCCCTGCCAGAGGACGGAGGAGGCGCTGCTGTCGCCAAAGAGGGCCAGGCACAGCTGGAGGAGGGGGCTGATGGCTGGCGTGCAAGGGGCGCATGAATCGCAGGCCCAGCAGGAGCCAGGGATGGCTGCTGCTGCCATGATGCTGCCGGCTGCACTAAGTGCGGTGGCGGTGCTGGCAGGGGGAGCAAGCGCGGCTGCTGCTGCTGCTGCTGTGCAGCTGCCGCCCTCCTGCCATCCGTGGGAGCGCAAGGCGGCGAGATGACTTGCAGCACAGAGACCAGCGTGATGCACAGGTGACTGAGGCTGCGCGGCGGCGGCGTGCGCAGCACTGCGACTCGGCGCAGCACCAGCACCGCTCCCTGCTGAATGCCTGGCTCGCCATCTAGCGCAGCCTGGGTCAGCGTGCCGCCAATGGCGCCAGTGGGGTCCTGCATGCCAGCCAGGGGGAGGCAGCACCCATAAAAATAACCGGGCACACTCCAGGGCATTGCGCAGAGGGCATCCCGCCACGTCCCTGGCAGTGCCCCCCTTAGTCGGTCTAGCGCAAGATGGCAGGCACCCAGCCTGTCAAGATCCCATGCATTCTGCGTGCTGCAGCAGCACCTTGAGCCGCACAAATGCCTCGCCGCTGTGGCATCGCTTGACAGCCACCACCACAGCTAGCAGCCGGTCCAGCACCCCGCTCTGCTGCAGGCCGATGGCGGCCCGCACAGTATTGTCCTTGAAGGGCTCTCGGTTCTCTGCAGGGCAGGCAGTCGAGGCAAGCATGCCGCTGTTGCAAGATGGCCCGCTTAGGGGGCTGGGCAGGCGTCGTGGATGGCAGGGCAGGGCTAGATAGCTCCCAGCAGCAGCACCCAGTGTGCACCATCAAAATCGTCGGCGTCCACATCCTGCAGTGCCTGAAGCCAGGGCCGTGACGCAAAGTCAGGGTCGCCCCCTGCCTGCGCTGCACCGAGGCTGCCACCGCCGCCGCCGCCACCGCCGACTCCAATGGAAAGCGTGCTGGCGGCCGGGCGCGTTGCACTGATACGTCCAGCGGGCCCTGGCAGGCTTCGTTGAGTGCGCTGGGGAGAGCAGGGAAGGCATATCAATTGATTTCAGGGAGCAGGCCCACGCAACGGCCACACGTGCGCTGTCCTGGGCAGGCACCTGCGATATCAATGGTTGGGCGGGCACCACCGCAAGGGGGCCGCAAGGGGGCCCATCCTCCGCACCACTCCAGCCGGCCATCGGCGCCTAGGATTGGAGCTACTTGCAAGCGACCCGTGATGTGTTAGAAGGCCTTGAGGGAAGATTTTCTTGCGAGCCGCAAAAAAATGCAACACCTGGCGCCAGCTGTCCAGGCGCAGAACTGCGAAATCTTAGCACACGGGGTTACAGCAGCAGAATGCTCAAGGCACTCATGGGAGCGAACCGGAATGGCGTCAAGGAGAAGGGAGCAACAAGTGCGGTAACATCGAGCAATAAGTGGACCAACAGCGGTGAGTGCGCCCCCAGGCCCCTCAGCAAGGATGGCGTCAGGCAGTCAATGTTAAGCGGCTGCCTGCAGTGCCATTTCCAGCTTTTTGTGAAGGAAGGAGAAGGAGGGCTGGTCCTTGAGCTGCTTGGGCACCGGCGTCTCCCCCAGTAGGTCCTGCACAGCACAGGCATGGAGGTCAGCAGATGAGGATGCCATCAGCTGATGGATGCAACTTGACAGCTGCGAAGCCCTGCCACGGCGCTGGGCCTTGCCTTGTCGTCCACCATGCGCTCCACGTCTGCGTGTGTGAAGGGGATGGCGGAGTCGTCGTCCAGCAGGAAGGAGTGAGAGGCTGCGCTGTTGCTGCTCTCCTGCATGGCCGACTTCATCTGCTGCAGGACCTCGGGGCTCACAGTCTCCGTGTTGTATCTGCAACAAGAGAGAGAGAGAGAGAGAGAGAGAGAGGGAACCACGTATGCTTGTTGCTACATCTCATTGCCACCTGAGTGACCAAGCTGTCCGTATGGTACAGCCAACCTGCCCTCTTAGCCCCAGCACTGGGCCCCACCCAAACTTGCCACCCCACCTCCCCGCACCTGTCGTCCCAGTACATGGTGGAGATGCGGTATAGCTGCTGCACTGACAGGCTGCTGCACAGGTCCTCGGTGATCTCACGGAAGCTCTTGCGGTGCTTCTGGTGGATGACAAGGAAGGTGACCGCCTGGCGGATATGGGCCAGAGCGTTCCAGGAGTCGCCCACCTGCACAAAGGGTGGGTAGGGTGCAGTCTGGTTGTGGTGAGTGAAATTGGGGCACAGGCAGGAGGGTGGGGTCATGCACAGGCAGGCGCAGGGCGCCGGGCAGCTGCGACCAGCGGCAGCCAGCCGCGCCACTCACCCACTCCTCTCCCGCGCTGCTGATCCACTGCTCCACCTCGCTGAGCCCCGCCTTGACGTACTCGCCGTTGGAGAAGGAGCAGCACTCACGGCGCAGCAGCAGCTGGTTGAACAGCTGCACGTTGACAAACGACAGCAGCTGCTCAAACAGCTTCTGCACCAGGAAGGGCGGCACGTGGTTCTCCCGCAGCGTGGCCAGCAGCGTGTCAAACACCCGCAGGATGTTGCTCCAGTGTGGAGACAGCCCGCCGTCACCGCCAGCAGCAGCGCCACGTGTGCCGCCGGGCGTGCTGGGTGTGCCCGGCTGCACCTCGCCGCCTGCTGCCGCCACCGCCGCTGCACTGGCGGCGCCGCTGGTGGTGCGCCGCGCTCCGCGGGCGCCGGCCTGGCGCGGCGCATGGATGCAGGCAGCCAGCTGCGGCGTGATCTCCTTCTTCACGTTGTCGCGCAGCATGGGGAAGATCTTCTGCACAAAAGCGTCCAGCTGCTGCTTGAACAGCAGCGCAGGGTACTTGGCCTCCACCTGCAGCGTGGGCAGGCGCGGTGGACGTGTGGCGCGTGTGCAGGGGGGGTTCCCGGGCGGTCAGCAGTGCAGCTGGCAAAGCCGGCTACAGACAGGATGTGAAAAGGATCCAGCAGCCCTTGTGGCGCACCTGGCGGAAGCCGCCCATGGCGCCGCCGTGGATGGATGCCTCGCCACCCGCAGGCGAACCGCCGCCGTACCCAGTGCGCGTGAAGAAAGAGGTGAAGCTGCCCTTGCTGCTGGCAAACAGGCCGCGCGTGACCTGCGATGGCGATGTCAGGGGCGGAATGGGGGTGCATGAGGGCTGGGTGGCATCCGCACAGCCGCAGGCATGCCACTGGAGTGCAAGGGTGTCAGGGCAGCAGGGTGCACGGTGGGAGCTGCAGGGTGGCTGCTCATGGGCACAAGTCACCCGCCCCACCTGCTGGCTGGAGGCCTTGATGCGCGCTGCGTAGCCACCGCCGCTGGCGGGCTTGACATTCTTTTGCATCAGGTAGAGCAACGTGACTGTGTTGGACAGCCAGTACGACAGGTACGCATTGTTCTCCTGGTGCACCTCCACCTGAGAAGCGGGGCCAGGTGAGTGGGGAGGCGAGCGAGTGGGCACCAGCGACGATGGCCGGCCACACGTTGGGCCTGGGCAGGATTATCAGCTGGCCATACTGTTGAGCTACAAGCAGCCCACCTGGGAGCCCATGGTGGCGATGATGCGGTCGAACAGCGGCGTGCGGTCTGCTTGGAAGGTCTTCCACTGCAGGCAGCAGCGGAAGACGACCACCGCCGCCACAGGGCGCCCGCCCTGGAAGCCCAGGTTCTCGCCGATGGCCGCCAGCAGCTTCTCCTGGTCCGCGGTGCGCTGCTCACGCAGCAGCTGCTGCTGCTTGGCGTACAGCTCGCGCTGCCGCCGGTCCATCTCCGACAGTGGCTCGGTGGAGGGAGGGCCCTCCACGCGGCCTGCAGGTGTGTGGAGGTGAGGGTTAAGGGTGCGTATGGCAGCCGAAAGGCAGGCAGGGAGCAAGAAGAGAGCGGTTGGTAAGGTACAGCAGGGCAGGAACCCACCCATGGAGGTGGCCTGAGGCGTGGCGCCCTCCCGCACAGGCGAGCTGCCGGGGATCTGCTGCATGAAGCGCCGCATGCGGTCCATCATGCCCTCGTCGGTGCCTGGCGTGCCACCAGGCGGCGGCGTGACCATGCCCGCTGCCGCCGCCGCGCTGACCGCCGCCGCGCCCGCCGCGGGCAGCAACCGCCCTGCCTCCACATCGTCCTGCATCTGCTTCAACTTCGCCTCCAGCATCAGTGCCTCCTCGCGTGCCGCGTTCCGCTGAGCCACAGCGTTGTTGAGGCGGTTGAGGAGGTCCTGCCGCTCCGCCTGTGCCTTGATCTGCAGGGCAGGCGGCAGGGTAGTGATGACCGTGATTCAAAGGCACATGTAGCCGGGCAGCTGCGTGTGATTGCAGCACCCTAGCGCAAGCAGGACCTGAGCATGCCCGCAATCCCACCTCGGCCTCCGCCTTCTGCCGCTCCAGCGATGTGAGCTTGCCCTGGAGCTCCACCGCCTCTGCTGCAAGCTGCCGATGGGCCTCCGCCGCGCTCTCCGCGCTGGCCGCCACCTGCTGCCGCGCAGCCGCCAGCTCCGCCTCCACCGCCTGCCGCTTCGCCACCTCGGCCGCTGCCGCCGCCGCACCAACTGCTGCGGCCTGTGCCACCTGTGTCTCCATGGCACGCTGCAGCTCCGTTGCCCGTGCTTCGGCCACCTCGCGCTGCGACTTCTCCTCCTGCATGTACAGAAGCAGTCCATGGTGTGATGAGCGCTGGGACGGGAGATTGGCGCTGGGGTGGGGGGGGCGGCACAGCGGCGCACCCTGTACTGCTGCCGCAAATCGTTGCGCTGGTTCTGCACGGCCTCCAGCACGTTTTGAACCTCCCGCAGCTTGACCTCCAGGGCCTGCTTGTCCTGCATGAGCTTGCCCGCCTCGCGTGCCTCGGTGCGCCGCCGCCGCAGCTCCCGCCGCGCGCACTTGGAACGCCACAGGCTCTGCGTAAGGGTGGGGCAAGGTGGCTGCCAGTCAAGAAGAGTGGTGCTGAGCAACAGCAGGAAATCATTCGGCCACGGTCTCAACGAAACGCTCTGCCCGGCGGTACACGCACCTGCGCCACCACCACGCCGCTGCGGTACCGCAGGTACGACGACTGTGCACGGTGCCGCCGCCACTGGCTCTGGATGACCAGAGCTGCGCGGTGCTGCTTGACGTCGCGTGTGTGCAGCCGCGCCCGCCAGCCGCGGTAGGCAGCCTGCACCACCACGGCCGCGCGCACTGCCGCCACAAAGCGCTGCCGTGCCTGCCAGCGCCGCACAAAGGCCTGGATGAGGGTGGCGGCCTTCTGGCGGCGCAGGCTACGCGCCAGCGAGCGCGCCGCCATGCCACGTGCTGCTGCCTGCATCGTGATGACCGCGGCGCGGGAGGCGGCATAGTGCTTGCGCGCCAGGTAGCCGCGCACATTGCGCTGGATGGCGCTGGCAGCCGCGTGCTGGACCTCGGTCTTGCGCTTGTCCAGCTCAGCCATCTTGCCCGCACGCAGGAACACCTGCAGGCGGTGGCAGAAGACGTTGAGCGCAGGTCAGGGGACGTCTAGAGCAGGTCGACGCCACAGGAGGTTGATTACTGCCCACCTTGGACTTGCCCAGCTGCCAGCCCTCCTCGCACAGCACACGGCGCAGGATGAGGCGCACAAAGCCGGCATCGTCCAGCTGCTGCGGCGAGTCCAGGCCCAGCATCCAAAAGTGGTCGATGAAGTCCAGGAAGGGCATCTTGGTGGGGTAGCCCGCACACGAGATGCGCACAGCCTCCAGCACGCCGCCGCACCGCAGCTGCACAAGCAGGCAGGGGCCAAGCCAGGAAAGTGGCACTTTGTCAGCTGCTGGCTGCACATCCCACTGGCTGCACACAGATCATGCGAGACGCTGGCAAAAGTGCCAGGCAGGCTGGAATCTGCCTGCCCGCCTGAAATGCATCTCATTCTGTCGAGCTGCTCTCCTCTCCCTGCACTGCACTGCCATGCTGCCCCCCACCTGGTGCAGCACATTCATGTTCTCAAAGGCCATGGGACGGTTGAAGGAGTTGGGCTTGATGCAGCGGATGTAGTGCGGCTCCATGCGGTGCAGCGCCTCCATCAGGTCGCCCAGCTGGCGCTTGAATCGGCTGCCCACGCTAGCAAACTTGTAGCTGGACTGAGTGCCACCACGCCCGCCTGCCGCCGCCTTGCCCTCGTCGGGGTCAGCGGGGAACAGCGCACACACAAAGGGGTGCTGGCTGGCGCCCAGCAGCGCCTGGTGCTCCGCCACCACAAAGTCACGGTTCTTGGTCAAGAAGTTGTCAGTCTTGTAGGTGACCGCGCCTGCAGGGAGGCAAGAACGGCGCAGTGGGACGTCACGGCAGGAGCTGGAATGAATAGGGCTATAGCCACAGCACAGCTTGACATGCTGTCCAGCCCAGCGTCCCCCACCAGCCCTCACCACCCACCTGCGTAGTGGTCAATGGTGAAGTCGGTGCGCGACAGCTTGGGCTTCGAGAAGCGCTTGCTGTCGGCCACGCTGGGCGCGCCATACAGCTTATTGGCATAGTCCTCGTGGGTGGCCTGCAGGGGGTGGGATAAGAGCAAGCCCAGGACCCCCTGTCAGTGCCAACCCTCGCAAGTGGGTACCGTGCGCTGGCGGCCACCAAGCAAGTGCTGCACTGCATTCCACCGAGTGCCACGCTGCTGGCTCGCTCCCAGCTCCTGCCGCTCAGCCGCCCAGCAGCCGCTCCTGCCTACCTTTGGGAAGCGGCAGGACTCGTCCAGCAGGTCCAGAATGCCCATGCGCGCCTCAATCAGGTCCAGCACATCCTGGTTGTCCACGAACTCGATGTAGCTCCACTCGATCGCCTCACGCTCATACTCCGCCTGCTCCATCTTGAAAACGTGCTGATTGAAATGCTGCTGAAGCTTCTCGTTCGCCAGGTTGATGCAGAACTGCTCAAAATCGTTTTCCTGGAACTGCTCGAAGCCTGCAGGGGTCGCATTTCATGCCCGAACGTTGTCAACAAAGCTGAAGAGGTGAAGGAAGGACTCGGCACCAGCCAGCTGAGTGGAAAGCGTGGAACAGCAGCCCCACAGCCACTGCAGCCCCACACCCGCCCACCCATACCCCATCACAGCCACCGCCGACCACAGCACGCACCGTAGATGTCCAGCACGCCGATGAGGCTGGTGGCGTTGGTGTCCTGGCCGATGGATGTGTTGATCTTCTCCACCAGCCAGTCAAACATGCGCGAGTAGGTGGTCTTGGACAGCGAGTCGCGGTTGTCCTCCGCCGCCTTAACGTCGATGGGGCTCACAATGGCGCCATCGGGCGTCTGCCGCGTGCGTGTGGTCAGCGCCTTGCGCAGCCCCTCGGCATCCACGCCAAGGAGGTGGGCAGCTGCCGCCAGGTGCTCCTCGGTCGCGGGGTCCACCGCTGACGCGTCGGCACCGTCGGCAGCCGCCTCCACAAATGCCACGTTGCCCAGGTGCAGCACGGCGGCAACGGTGCGGAAGACGGCATCCTGCTCTGCCTCCGGGATGCCCACCACGCTCATGGAGCGCCGCGTGCGCCGGTACTCCTCCGCATTGCTGACCCCCTTCAGGTCGAAGCAGCCGCTCTGGCTCAAGTAGCGAAACTGCTTGGCGGGCTTGAGGCGCAGCGTAGCACACTCCGCCTCGCTGGCGCCGTCACATAACTGGACAGAAGCGGGAAGCAGGCAGGTGGCGAGGGGCAAATCAGCGGGACAGCTTGTGGGCATATGCCTGCCCAACCCCCCCCATGCTCCCAGGGTGTTGCCTCACTTGGTAGAACACATGGTAATTGCGCTCGGGGTCGTTGATGTTGACCACACGAGACCGCTCCAGAAGGTAGGTGCGGATGGCGGCGCCTGCGGGCAGCATCCCCAGGGCAATGCTCAACCGGCCCTCACCTCCCGCCACATAGAAGCTAAGAACCAGCAGGCGGCACCCCAGCATGTGCAGGAAAGCTGGCAGTCTGCACCCTCAGCCCTGCCGTAGACACTTCCACCTCTGCCAGCTGCGCTATGCCAGCTCTCCATCCCCTTGCACCCAGCCGAGCTCGCTCAGAACCCACCTGAGATCCTACCCGCAGCATTGAACTGGATCTCTGTGAACTTTCCAAAGCGCGAGGAATTGTCATTGCGCACCGTCTTGGCGTTGCCAAACGCCTCCAGCAGCGGGTTGCTCTCCAGCACCTGCTGCTCCACGCTGCGCCCGCCCGCCCCCCGCCCCGCGCTGCCGTCCTTGTACCCGCCCATCCAAGCCAGGTACTGCATCAGCAGCTTGCTGGTCTCTGTCTTGCCCGCCCCCGACTCGCCGCTGACCTGCAAGCACGGTGCAATGAGGCACACGATTCAGCAGCGTCAACAGAACACTGCTGGTGTCTTGACAAAGCTGCTGGTCCTGTCTTGACACGACAGCTGCCGCTGATGACGCCTGCTCAGCCAACCAGATTGGCAGGCATGAGCGCCGGCAGTCTGGTGCCTTGCCGGCGCGCACCAGGATGGACTGGCTCTTGCCCTCCTTGCGCATCTGGCGGTATGATTCATCGGCGATGGCATACACGTGGGGGCTGAGCTCCCCCAGATTCAGTCCGCGGTACTGCTCCATCATGTGCAGGCCGTAGATGTGCGGCATGGGTGCAAAGGGGTTGACCGCGATGAGGATGGAGCCGGTGTAGGTGTAGATGTCGTCCGTCTGGTACCGCACCTTGAGGTTCCACAGCACGCTGGGCTCGTTCAGGTACGACATGGTGGTCATGTCCTGCAGCAGCAGCACACACATGCGGATGGACCCTGCGGTTTCGAACAATCTGGCCCGTGGACTGGCTCCCGACCGAGCCATAGATAGGTGTCGTCACACGCCCAGCGCCCAGAGGCCAAGCGCCGCTGGGGCCTTCGCTACAGCCGTGCCGCTTTCAAATGCAGGCTTCCCCTTGCTGCCTGCAGTCGCCATCCCACATTTGCTGGTCTGGCCGCGCCACCCGCCACTGCCAACTGAACCGCCCACCTCCACGCCCGCCGCGGAGCTGTTCTGGAGCGGGATGTCGCTGGCCGCGCACTCTCGCTCGTCCCCATCCTCCAGCCGCACCCTAAGGCGGGGCCCAGCCATTGCCACCACCTCGCCGCGTAGCCAGTCTCCGCTGCCCCCGTCCTGTCGCCATAGCCAGACTCTGGAGCCGACCGTGTGCAGCGCGGAGCCCTCTGGCTCCGAGCTGCTGCCCTTTCCCATGCTACCGGTGCTGCTGGGGGGGCTGAAGGGCTCAGGCAACAACCATGTGCCACAGCTTCAAATGGCACGATTGATCGAACGCGTTTCGCTTGCTCACAATGCTGCCAGGCGGCGCCTGCCGATGCCAGGGCGCTTGCTGAAGCCACAGGGCGCCGGTCAATGCGATGGCGCTCTCACCGGTGTACTTCTGGGCCGGACAGGTTGTTGCCTGGCTGATGGTGATGCGCTTGCACATCACATCCGCCATCAGGCAACTGCAGCAGGCCTGCCTGCTGCAGCAGAGCTCCCAAAACCGGCACCTCCATCACCACGTTTCACACGTGTTTGCAGTTTGCAGCGCCTGAACAGGCCCTCGGAAGCCCCCCTGTAAATATCTATATCTTTTGAGTGCCGGGTGCAGCGCAGCCGAAAACAGGCAGGCATGCTTGCGACGCCTGTGTGCAGCCAGCTTGCTGTCACAGGGCGGGGCCCTTGCGCCATCCCCAGCAGCAGCGGCAGAAGCACCCGCTGCCCATCGGCAGCAGCAGCGGCGACAGCCCGCCGCCAGGGGCCGCAGCCTGGCCGCCGCCGCCGGCAGGCGGAACCTGTCTGTGCCGCTGCTCCCCCCACCAATGGACTGTCTTACAAGGATGCGGGGGTGGACATTGATGCCGGCAACGAGTTGGTCAAGCGCATCCAGAAGCTCAACCCCAACATTGGCGGCTTCAGCGGCATGGTCCCCTTCGGTGAGTCCACGCACCATTTTCCCGCTGGCCATGCCTGCTCCGTCACTACCCTCCCTGGAAACAAACCTTGCCTGCGTGGAGCCACACCCACCCCGCCCCACACATGCAGGCGACTCGTTCCTGGTGGCGGGCACCGACGGTGTGGGCACAAAGCTGAAGCTGGCGTTTGACATGAACAAGCACGACACGGTGGGCATCGACCTGGTAGCCATGAGCGTGAACGACATTGTCACCAGCGGCGCGCAGCCCATGTTCTTCCTCGACTACTTTGCGTGCGGCAAGCTGGACGTGGACACCGCTGAGCAGGTGCGTGTGTGGGGTTGGGGAGGCGGGGTCGCTCAGGACCTGCATGCCCGCATGGTACCAAGCTTTCGGCCGCCTCAACTCTGTTACGGCCGGCCGGTGTTGGTACCATGCCACAGCAAAGCTGCCAGGGACGATTTCCACCCAGCCCCACCCTGTGGCTGACGCGGCATGATCCCCCTGGCACATCCTTCACCCCACATCTGTGGCAATAGATGGGGATGACTTGTGAATACCTGCACCCATCCGCATGCCCTTTCCTGACCCTGTCTTGCTCACACCCGCTGCCTGTGGGCTCTGCGCTGCCTGGCAACTGCGCAGGTGGTCAAAGGCATCGTGGAGGGGTGCCGCCAGTCGGACTGTGTGCTGCTGGGTGGCGAGACGGCCGAGATGCCGGGCTTCTACTCGCCCGGCGAGTACGACCTGGCCGGGTTTGCGGTGGGCTCGGTGAAGCAGGACAAGGTCATTGACGGCAGCCGCATCAAGGTGGGTTGGCAGTGGGGTGGGGGCAAATGTGAGAAACACAGGGTGTGGGCTGCTGGGCTTGGCTCGGTGGGGGGCTGTGTTTGTGGATTCGCTTTGGTCGCTTGTGCTGGAGTAGAAGCGTCGGCTGACTTTTTGTGGCACTTGCTCCTCCGGCACCTGCAGGCTGGCGATGCCATCCTGGGCCTCAAGTCCAGCGGCGTCCACTCCAATGGCTTCTCACTGGTCCGCAAGGTCTTGGAGGTGAGTGACCCCACTCTGCCCCTCCTTGATTGCACCCTTGGTGCCAGCCACTCAGTTTGCATCACTTGCCTGCCTGCCCATGTTGTTCCCACCCCTCCAAGCCTCTGCAAGCGTGCTCACTCATCCTTCCCTCCACCGCCCCAACCCATTGCTGCAGGTGTCTGGCACCTCGCTGCACGACACTGCACCCTGGAGCGGCGAGAGCTTTGGGCTGACCCTGCTGACCCCCACCGTGCTTTACGTTCGCGACTGCATGAAGCTGGTGGCCGCAGCTGACGTGCGCGGCCTGGTCCACATGACGGGCGGCGGCTTCCCCGAAAACATCCCCCGCGTCGTGCCCAAAGGCCTGGCTGCCCGCATCCAGCGCAGCGCGTGGGAGGTGCCGCCGCTGTTCCAGTGGCTCCAGGAGGTGGGTGGGCGGTTGCGGCTGCGCCTGCAGATGGGAGCTTGCTTGCAGGCATCTGCTGTCTACCTGCTCACCTGCCTGCCTGCTTGGTGTTCTCCTGCTGGCTGCAGGCGGGCAAGGTGCCCGACTCTGAGATGTTCCGCACCTTCAACATGGGGGTGGGCATGGTCATTGTGGTATCGCGGTCCGACGTGGACAAGGTGCTGGACCTGGGCATTGGCGCCTTTGAGATGGGGGAGGTTGTGGAGGGGCAGGGCGTGGAGCTGGTGTGAGGAGCAGCACAGTGCTGCTCTCATGCACAATCATCAGCAAAACGCATGAACCCTCTTCAATAAAATTGTCATTCTTTCTGTTTCTGCTGTTATTGTTCCAATTTTGGTTGTGAAGTATACTGACAATGCACGATGGGCAAAGCGACAGAGCGGTCGAGGGTAGCGCACCTGGCAAAGGACAGCCAAAGGACCCAACCTGTCCCCCTTCCGCCCCCTAGCTCTCGCACAACAATGTGTGACAAAAGGAGATAGCAGCCCTGCAGGCCATTCACCGCACGCACAGACCCTCCCTCTGTGTTGGCATGCTGGGTGTGACGTTACATGTGCGGGGGCTAACAACATGACACGCCTGCTGCTGCGAATCCATCGCTCAGAACCTGCGGGCATGAGGAATGGCAAACATCAACGTAGGAGGAAGCAGCGGCAAGGTGCAACATACACACATGCGAGCAACAAGCAATCAGGCCTCAATGGCAAAGCCCTGGGCATGCAGGCTGGCAGCAGTGATTCTTACGCGAGTTTTGCAAAGAACCAACGGTTCTTGCCGCTCTTGAACTTCTCCTCCAGCAGCGCCTTGGCCTCCTTGTTGGCCTCCACCTTCTTGGTGCTGTTGTCGATGCAGTCGGCAGTCACCACGCCCTTGAGCTCCACCTCCAGGGTGTAGCGGGTGGGCATGATGTGCTGGTAGTTGGCCACCTTAATGAAGGTCTGCACCATCCAGGAAGGCAGCGCAGCGCAGGCAGCGTGTTGAGGAGCCACTACGATGGAGACGGCTGCTTGCGTCGTGCAGCCGATGCACCGGTGGCAAGCACCACCCCCAGCTTCACAGACAGCACGCCGGCTGCCTGCAAGTCTTCAGGTGCCTTAGCTCCAGCAAAGCTGGTGCTGCTCTCCACGTGCTCTCCACAGCTCTCCACAGCTGGCCACTGCCCAGCCTGCCCTCAACTGCTGAGGCTGCATCACAGCCGCTCAGCGGCCTGCTCCTCCCCATATGCGTGCGCAGCTCCACTCCAGCTGCAAGCTGGCCACCGCGCCCACACAGCGTGCGCCATCTGTTGTGGTGCCTGCTTATTCCTACTCGTCTATCCATCGTCCATCAGCTGCGCCCAAACCCTCGCTGCACAATGCATGCTTGTGTGCAGGTGCTGGCATGAGCTGCTGTGTTACCATTCGCCCACCCTGCCTGCTGCACTGACTCGCACCTTCATGCTAGAGCGGCGGGCCTGGGTCTTCTGGGACGACCGCTTGATCACCTGCATCACAACCACGTGCACGGCCAGTGCCAGTCAGAGACACGGCAGTGTCGAGAACACGGCACGGCGCGACATGGCTCACTCGGCAGCTGGCTCCTCGATCGCTCCGCAGCCCCCTGGTCCTCCCAAACCACCGTCGTTCAACACACCATCTATGCCGCCAACCCACTCCGCCACTGTGCCGCTGCCTGGCTGCCTGGACCAGGCCTGAAACAGGCCTGCCCACCGCACCGCCAACGGCACCGCTGCCGCCACAAGCGGGCGCGCACCTTGCGGGGCTCCTTGGACAGGCCGCACACCAAGGCGTGGCCGTATGGCCGGCTGCTGGTGCCATCGTCGTAGTTCTTCACGATGACGGCCTTCTTGCCGGCGTAGCGGCCGCTGAGAAGGATGACCACCTTCCCGGGCTGCATGGCGAGGGGCGAGGCGTCTGTTCAGCGCCCCTGGCGCTACCAAAGCCTGCACGCAAGCAGCCGCCGCCCGCCAGCCCCCGGCCCAGGCCTCCCCCTCGCCATTCCATCATGCCCGCACCTTCAGGAACTTCATGGCTGCCCTTCCTGCCCCGAGAGACTAAAAGAGGCCTGCGGGGGCTTGCAGGGCGTTCTAATGCTCCATGCAAGCTGGCTGCCAGGGTCGCAGCCAGGCTTCGGGCGTCCAGGTGGCCATCGGCATCCCTGAATCCCCTCCTTCGCTCTGCTCGTTGATTGCCATTCGAATTGGGAGTCCTGCCGGCCGAACGGTGCTCCTGGCCCGACAGTGTCGACAGCTGCACACAGCAACCTCCCCGCCGGGTGGAATGGGCGTTTCCATGGCCCTGGCAGGAGCCTCCCCGCCAGGTTTCACTAGCAGGCCTCTCAGGGCGAGATCGACGGCTACCCCCCTGGCCCATGGCAGGCTGGCCGCCCCGCACCAGCAGCTGGCCTTGCCCAGCAGCAGCAGCAACAGCATTCGGATCAGCGGCAGAACCGGCGCCGAGGGCCGACAACACCCCAAGCGGCGGCAGCGGCTCGTGGCGGGAGCGGCAGCCGCCGACGCCGATGCGGGCCTGGCAGCCCAGGCGGCAGCAACAGCAGCAGCAGCTGGGGTGGAAGCGGAGCGCCAGATGCAGCAAATGACGCAGCAGGATGCAGCAGCAGCAGTAGCAGCACAGCCAGCAGCGGTCGAGGCCAGTGACGAGGCAGCACCCGCCCCCAAGAAGAAGGGGGGCCTGGCCAAGCGCGTCGTGTTTGGGGTCATCCTAGGCCTCAGCGGCGCGGCAGTCATCATCGTCGGCGGCTGGCTGTACTGCTTCGTGGCGTGCCTGGCGGCATACCAGCTGTCACAGGTGAAGGCGTGGGCAGCCCCAGCTGCTTTGATGACTGATGAAATCAGCGCGCTTCGTTGCACCTGTCACCCATGCGCACTCCATCCCATCCCCCCGCCCCTCCCCTGCTGCCACTGCAACCCGTCACTGCAGGAGTTTATTGGCCTGGTCGGCGCCAAGGGCATCTCCAAGGGCATGCGGCCGCCGCCGCCGCTGGTTAATAACGCCATCAGCCTGCTGTGCGTGGCGCTCAACGCGTGGGTGTTCATTACCAACGGGCGTGCTGCGAGCGCCATGGCGGTGGCAACCTTCATGTGCCTCTGCTTACAGTTGCTGGCAGTGCGCAAGCCACGCTTCGCGCAGCTCGCCTCCTCCGTGTTTGGGCTCTTCTACTGCGGTGCGCAGTGCTGCAGACTGGAGTAGGCTGCATTGGGCAGCCCTGGGCATGCAGCAGGCATTTGTGCATGGGCAATGCCAGCATCAGCGTACCAGCCGGTTTATGCATGGTGGTGGGCTAGCTGGCGTGGTCACCGTGAGCAGCTGGCTAGCCCCTGACATCTGCACGCCCGCTTGCATTGCCACCTACCGTGATGCAGGCTACCTGCCCAGCTTCTGGATCAAGCTGCGCCTGTTGGCTGTGCCAGCAGTGAACAGCGCCGCAGTTGCGGCCACCGTCCCCCCGCTGCTGGGCGGCCCCACGCACCTCACCGTGGGCCTGATTGCCGCGTTTGTGGCTGTCTCCTGCATCATCGCTGCCGACACCGGCGCCTACTTCTGCGGCAAGTCGTTTGGGCGCACGCAGGTGCGTTTGGGCCTTGTGCACGCAAGCAATGCACCATGGCCTCCCTGTTGTGTCATGCCGCATGAGGACACCTGTTGGTTTGTGCTGTGGATATGTGCACCTCCTGGGCAACCAGCACCCTCGCACTGCCCCTCACCTGCAATCTGCCGGCCCCCCTCCGCAGCTGACGGCTGTGAGCCCCAAGAAGACCGTGGAGGGTGCTGTGGGCGGCCTGCTCAGCAGCATTGTGGTGGCACTGGGGCTGTACAAGGTGGGCTAGGTGCAGCTGGCGCTTTGCATGGGCACGCATTCACAGATGGGTAACCAGCCCATGGAATGTGTGTTGCTGCCGCATAGACTGTCAACGCTGTGCTGTCGGCACCACCACTTTGCTATTGCAGTTTGCTGGCTGGCCCGACAACTCGCTGAATGCAGCGGCCCTGGGCACCATCGTGTTCTTTGCCAGCCTGTTTGGCGACCTAATTGAGAGCGTGATCAAGCGTGATGCTGGGCTCAAGGACGCGTCCAATCTGATCCCGGGCCACGGGGGCCTGCTGGACCGCCTCGATTCCTACCTCTTCACCGGTGCCTGCGTCTATTTCTTCATCAAGTTCTGCTTGGGCAACTTTGGCATCTGACCTTGGCAGCGCTCCATATCTGTGTCCAATGGTGCCACCAGCACCTGCCTCTTGGGTTGCAGGCACCAGCCCCGATCCTGTTGTAAATTCTTTCCTCATTTCCCGTCCGCTTTCCACATTTGCTGGCCACAATTTTCCCGTGCCACTGACAGTCACAATTGACACCTCGCCCTCTGTCCCCTCAGCTTCCGAGCTTGTGAATTTGTAACTGGATCGCAGCTGTGTGCTCGAGTGGCACCACCCAGCACCGCCCAACTACTCCATGTTGTGACGTTGATTCAGGATGCAATGAACAGGCACATGCCATCGCAGGCCACCATTCATGCCTGCATTGCAAATGGCATAGCAGCATTCCTCCAGACACCAGCACCAACTTTGCAGGCCTTCCAACGGCCCATTCAGTCCTGCACTTCGGTACTCAGGCGGACAGCCCTGCCAGCATGTGCGCTCTGTGCCAACAGTGCTGCACCCATGTGCCGCTGTGCTAGCGTGCTGTTACACACAAGGTGGCAAGGTGATGCGCCGAGGAGCTGGCTGCAGCTGCTCTCTACGCCTCCAGCACCACGACGCCCTTCTTGGTGGTCTGGTCCTCGGCCAGCGTCACAAAAGAGAACATCTCCTCCTGCGTGCGGCAGCAGCGGCGGGAAGGGCGAGTGAGCCGCTGAACCCCGCTTTGGGACTGCCTCAGGTGCTGGGATGACATTGCATGCCGATGGTGCCTTTCCAGTAGCGCCATGCTGATGACCCCGGTGAGGCTGCTTCCCTGCTTAAAGCTGTCCTCTTCCCGCCTCGGCTAAGCACTGGCCGCTGGCTCTGGCTGCTGGCTGTGCACTACTCCCCGGGTGCCCACATCCCTTGCCAACCCCAACCCAGCGGGTAGCCGCTGCACTCACAGAGTCCTCGTCATCCTCATTCCGCTTCCGCTGGATCACAATACGCAGCCGTGTGGGAACGTTCTTGATGCCCTGCACAGGCCGCATCACCACACAGCAAGCGCATTGGCAGCTGCATCCACATGAGGACCTAAATGCTGAGCGAGTGGTGTGGCAAGCGCCCACGCTGCCAAGCTGCAGCGGCATCCGCCATGCCGCCCTACTCCTCCATGCAACTCTCTTCATGTCATGCTCTCGTTAAGGTCGCACGCCTGCCACAGAGCGCCGTGCACAGCCCCTGCGCTGCAGCGCACCGCCGCCGCCGCCCACCTGGCTCCACACCGCCTTGTTGAGCTTGACGTCCACACGCACTTCTTTGGTGCCCATCTGCTTCTGTGCGAACTTTTTGATCTCCTTGACTGCGCGGGGGGCCTTTTTCTTGAAGGTAATGCCATGCAGCCGCTTGCCGAGGTTGATGGTGTACTCGCGGGTGCACACCTCCTGGCGCTTGTCCTTCGCCATCTGCAGCAGCGATTCCGGGGGTCAGCGGCCGCTCAGCGGCCCCAGGGCGGCATTGTGCCACCAGCATGTCGCCCCGCGCACCCTCCCTGCCCTGCAGACGCACCTTGAAGGGGCTCCCAGTTGATTGGTTTCCACCTAAGAGGCCGAGGCAGGCGGCAGGGCCGACTATGCACGGCCAAGATCCCGGCAGGGCGCGAAAACTCGGCTGCCTAAAATGCAGACCGCCTACGCTAATGAACTTTTAGCCACCCACACGCTCGCCTGGATCACGCAGCCTGTGCCCCACTCCCACACAGGCTGCCGAGCAGCCCGCCAGGCCCACAACCATGGCCTCCCTCTGGCAGCCCGCTCCCTACAACTCTACCACTACCAGCAGGCGTCCTTCCGGACTTGTGTGCCAACAGAGTCGCCATGGCGCGCCACAAGCGCTGGCCCCTGGGCCCAGGCAGCATCGGGCACCGCTGCGGCGCGAGGTACTGCCGGCGGCGACGGCGGGCGGAAGAGGAGGGGAGGGCAAGCAGCCACAGCAGCAGCAGCAGATGGGCAGCCCACCGCCTGGGGTGGCCGCCCTGCAGGCAGAGCCCGTGGCGCAGCCGGCAGCTGGAAGGGTCTTGCGCGTGGGCAGCCGCGCGGCGCCGCCCACGGCGGAGGCAGCTATGTTGGCTGCGGCCGATCCAGTGATGGGAGAGGCGGTAGAGCCGGCACCCAGCACGGCGCCACCGGCAGAAATGCCACCACCTGCACAGCAGCAGCAGCAGCAGGAGCAGCCTGGAGGCCCCACCCTGGGCCTGGACAGCAAGGTGGTGGGCATGATTTGCCTGTTGGGCGTGGCGATGCTGAAGGGCAGCTATAACTCCATGCTGCGCCTGCTGTACGCCCAGGACGGCCCCCCCGGCCCCGTGGCCATCATGCTCTTCCGCGGCGTGCTGCAGTCCATTGTGCTGGTGGCCGCCTACCTGCTGGTGGCCCAGGTGACCAAGGTGAAGGACAGCGAGGCGGCTGCAGGCGGCGACACCATCGCGGCGGCAGAGGGGGCAGCGGTTGGCATGCCGCCGCCGGCAGAGCTGCCTGGCACCGCCAGCGACGGCAGCAGCCTGGTGCCAGCCTGGGCGCAGCGCATCAGCAGCCGGCTGCCCTACACAGCCATCGCGGCCTCGGAGCTGGGCCTCTGGCTCTTCCTGGCCACCGCCATTCAGGTGTGTGGCGGCGACCTGCTGCCTGTGCCTGCATCTAGCCCCTGCCAGGCAGCCGCAGATAACAATGTGCTTATGAGCAATTGTTCTCACTGGGTGTGGAGCAGGGAGGGTGTGCTGCTTCCCCTCGGTACATTTGGCTGCTCACTCCCTCCCGCCGCCGGCATCTGTGCTGCTACAGACGCTAGGGCTGCAGCTGACCACCGCCACACGCGCCGGCTTCCTCATCCAGTCCACTGCGCTGCTTACGCCAGTGCTGGCCAGCTTCACAGGGGAGAAGCCCAGCCGCAACGTGTGGGCGGGATGCCTCGTGGCGCTGGTGGGCTGCCTGTTTATTGCATCAGACGCCTCGGCCACCGATGCCACCGACACGCCGCTCTTCAGCCTGGGTGAGGCGTGCTGCAAATGGCCCGCGGGACTTTGCAGCATTGGTCGCTGTGCTTCACACCCTTGAGTGCAGGGGTGTTCCCTGGATGGCAGCAACACTGGAACAGCCGGGCTCTTCCTGTTTTTCGCCTTGCGCTGCCACTGTGCTTGATCTTTCTTGCTGCGGACCACTGCATGCTCTTCCTGTGCGCTTGGGCCGCCTTCAGGCGGCGACGCTGCCGTCCTCAGCGCTGCCTTCTTCTTTTCGCTGGCCATGGTGCGGCTGGGCACGTACGCGAGGCGCATCCCGTCGGTGGAGCTGGCGGCGGCCAAGAGCGTGGTGCTGGGCGGCGTTGCGTTTGTGACCTTCCTCTTTGCCGCGGCGAGCATGACTGCGTCAGGCATCCCCATCACAGACCTCTGGCCCGGCTACGACAACCCGCTGTCGTGGGCTGTGATGATCTACTGCGCGCTGGGCCCTGGCGCCCTGGCCGCTTTTCTGCACGCCAAGGTGCGCCAGTGCCCACATGCCACCTGCTTTGAGATGCAAGTTGGGAAATCGGTGTGAGATCACCCGAGCCCAGCAGACAAGCAAGGTGCACCTGCTCACCTCCATTCCCTACCTCACTGCTGCTGTAGGGCCAGTCTGTTGTTCCACCGGCCGAAGTGAGTAGCAGCAAATCATGGTTTGCACATGCCAGAGCAATGCCTGTTGCAACTGCCTGATGACACGCACACTTGTACTGTTGCAGGCGCAGATCATCTTCTCATCCATGCCCCTCTGGTCGGTGGCCTTTGCCTTCCTGCTGCTTGGTGGCGAGCCCATGAGCGAGAAGACTGTCGTCGGCGGAGCTGCGGTGGTGGCAGCTGGCTTCATTGCATCCAGGAAGGATGGAGGGGCCCAGGAGAAGCCGGACGCAGCCGTGGCAACGGCCCCCGTTGAACACCGGCAGGACAAGGGCGACAAGCAGGCGTGACTTTTGTTATGTGTCTGGCCCTGCCCTTGTTTTCAAGGCTACTAGACGCCGCCTAGAAACAATTTTGTTGATTGTTTGTTCGGCCATTGTATCTCGCTCCGCAACCGTGCAAACACTTAAACAAATGTGTGCCCATACAACCGATCATATTCACCCTGCATTTTGTTCTGAGTTTCAGAGTACTCTGCCTATTCACCGGATCGCCAATTTTGTAACGAGCTGCTGCCACCCCCTGTAATAGAGCTGGTTGCTAAGAGGTGGCATCGATCTGTGACCGCAGTTACATACCCGAGGCCTTGTTGTTCACGATGATGGATCCCAGGATGGAGCGGTTGTGCCTAAATGGCAAACTCAGGTGACCTTCCTGCTGCAAAACGTGAAGCTGAGCGCCCGGAATGGCGCTCGCATAGTGCATTGCCATGTCTGGGGGGGTGGTGGTGTCTTTGCCGCCCTGCAGCAACGTCTCCTCCTCGTTGAGCAGGCTGGAACAATCATGCAACTAGGGGCACAGTGCACTGCGTTGAATGCATGCTGCCCTTTGCTCACATGCCAAATGACCGTCTTGCAGCCAATGGAGGCCAAGTCGATGGTTGGAGGGTCGCGGTAGTAAACCTGGACCCAGGATACGTGCCCCGCTCACATTGGCCCGCCTGCATCAGAGCCCAGAGCAATCACGCTGAATGTGGCCCACGCTCTCACCTGCATGTCGCAAAGAGCGCCAGCAACCCCCTGCACAAGCCCCTCCCGCACTGCTTCTTTCTCGATGGCGGCTGCCTCTGGAAGCTCCAGCATCGCCTGCTTGTCCACCTCAGCAAAGCCGGCAATGTGGAGCAGCAGATTGCCGTGCGGCACCTTCTGGATCAGGCGGAGCAGGTGCAGCGATGCCCACGAGCGCCCAGGGTGCTCACGCACCCCATGGAAGAGGCGCAGCGTGGAGGCACATGTGCCCGGCAGCAGCTCGGCCTCCCTCCCAGCCACGGGCATGAGCGGGCACACGAGCAGCAGCGCCTCCACACGCTCGGGCAGCAGTGCCGCGCACGCACAAGCAAATGGGGAGCCGCCTGCAGGCAGGAGGGCACAGGTTGGTTGGCAGTAGCGTGCAGGCTGAAAGTCCAGGCCCCCTCCCTTGGAAATGGGAATGACGATTCCCAATCGCTGTCTGCGCGCCTGACGCGCCCATCACCACCACCTTTTCCAGCTGAAGGCTGTCCAGCAGCTCCCGCACGTCGTCTGCCGTGCTCTCCATTGTCTGCAACAGAGAAGGATTGTTTAAATAAACGTCTGGCTGGCCTTGGCTGTGGCCATGCGCTGCACCACCGGAAGCAGGTTTTGCCCGGCGCTCACCAACTGAGGGTTGTAGGTGCTGCCGCCCGCGCCTGGCCTGTCCACTGCTAGCACACTGAGGCCAAGGTGAACGGCATCCTTGTGCAGTAGCTTCCCTTCCAGCCTCGAGGACGGGAACCCATGCACATACACGACTACGTGGGTTTTCAGAGGCCGACCAAACCAAGTGTATGTCAGCCGCATGCCATCACGCAGCGTGATGTGCTGCATGGCTAAAGGTGTATGGGGAGCAGGAGAAACAGGCTGGGTCACCTGCAAGCAGGGAAGCGGGTCTGCCGGCAGCAGCTCAGGGGCGGCCAGGCGGGCGGCTAAGCTCGGGAGGGAGACCCAGGGCTGCGGCGGGCTTTATCCCATTCCGCATCACCAGAGGATTTTGGTTGCTGGGGGGGCAAAGCGTCCAAGGGTCCAAGGCCGAGCAGGTGGCGAGGCAGGGCGGCAGCGGCAAGCGGGGAGGGCGAACTCGACCTCACCCCGTGACACAGGTGATGATCGAGAGATCAAAGCAGAGCCGATGAGAACAGGAGGGAAACGTGCAGCTGATGGAAGGTACCCAGAACTTGCACTGCCTTCCTCCCGCGTTCAACGGCGGGCGCTCCCAATCGCTTTGCTACCTTTGGATGTGTGCTGCCTGACACATTGAGCATCCAATTGCAAAGGCGCCGAGGCTGCTCCACTACTCCGCCAGCCCATCTACTCCGCTAGAGATCTACTCCGCTACGATGGGCCTCCTGAACAAGCTGAAAGCTTTGTGAGCCGCCTCCCGGGATGAGCCTGCGCACAGCGGTTCCGGCAGCTGAAGTGGTTGCCCTGCTGCCCGGCGCCGACATCACCGCCAGCCCGCCGCTGCCCATTCTCTTTCCCGCACCTCTGGGGCGCCCATCCCCACTCCCGCCCGCCCTGCCTGGGATGTCAGGAGCGTGGACGACAAGGGCGCTGCGGGCACGCTGTCCGGGCAGTTTGAGGGCGTCGACTCGGCGGCCGCCGTGGCGCAGATGCTTGGTGGCGGCACGGCTGCGACGCTGGAGGTCAGCATCAAGGCCCATGGCCTGCCCGACAAGGACTTGCTGAGGTGCGCCTCGTCTGGGGTGGACACTTGCATGGCAGCCAGCTGGGGCCACTCAGGTCAGCCGGGCATGCGAGTCTGGCTGTGTGCCCCGTCGTGCAGCAAGAGCGATGCCATGGCCGTGATCTTTGCCTCCGACGGCGCCAAGAGCAAGGATTGGGGCGAGGTTGGACGCACCGACACGGTGGCCAACTCCCTGTGTGAGGATGCTGCTGTGCTAGCCGCCCGATTGTGCACGCCACCAAGTCGCCTGCACCTGGTGTGCCCCAGCTTATGCCGGCGCAGACGGGTTCCGGTGGCCCTCCCATACCCTGAGCCGTGCACGCCCCTTGCCTCCACTGGGCGTGCTGCAGCTCCTCAGTTCCACAAGACCGTGCGGGTCAGATACAGCTTCGAAAGACTCCAACCGATGCGGCTGGTCATATTTGACGTCGATGATGTGAAGAAAGAGAGCAGCAAGATCAAGTTGAACCACCAGGACTTTCTGGGTGCGGCGTGAGGACACACATGATGCCTTGCCAGCGGTGCTCGGTCCTCTATTCGCTGCAAGCCCTGGGTCCATGACTGATTTTGGTGCCCGCCTCTGCCGTTCTGCCCCTGCAGCGCACGGAGAGTTCCTGCTGTCCAGTCTGCTGATGGCTCCCGGACGCCAGCTGACCCTGCCGCTGGCCAACAAGCATGGCCGCCAGCTGCCGGGCTGTGTGGCGGTGTTGTCGGCGGAGGAACTTCCCAACACCAATGCGGTGGTGAGCTGGTCACTAGGGAGGGAGGGCAGGAGGGGATTGGCAGGGGAAGCGCTCCATGGGTCACCTCTGACTCATGCTTCACCCGCCATCCTCACGCCCGCCTGCATCCACCCAACCTGGCCACCCCGCGGCCCTCCCTGCAGGTCCAGCTGACGCTGGGGGCCTCCAAGCTGGAGAACAAGGACACGTGGGGCAAGAGCGACCCCTTTGTGCGCATCAGCAAGTTGCGGCACAATGGCGAGTGGGCTCCCGTTCTGAAGACAGAGGTGAGCGGGGCAAGCCTGTGTTGTTCGGCCCACTTCGAAGCCGCAGCTTCACTCTGCCACCCTTTTGCTGCTGCACCGGGGCTCACATGTAACCTGCGTCCCACCCTTGTGCCTCCTCGCAGGTGGTGGACAACAACCTGAACCCAATGTGGCGCCCGTTGCAGGCATCCATGTCGCAGCTGTGTGGCTGTGACGAAAACCGCCGCTTGCTGTTGGAGGTGCGATAACATTCGATCCCAGAGGCTTTTTCGGGCAGTTCCGCCGACAGCTCTGCCTAATTGATTCCAGTACACCAGCTCGCCGCTTGCCTGCAGGTCTTTGATCATGACATTGATGGCAGCCACGACCTGATTGGTCGCTGCGAGGCCTCCCTGCATCAGCTCAAGGCGGCAGCAGCACAGGGCCACGGCCTGCTGCTGATCAACCCCAAGAAACAGGGGATGTCGTCAGGTGGGCTGGCTTGGGCTGGCGCAAAAGCCGCAGCTGGAGCACACCAAGCACAGAAATGTGCCCATTCTGAAGCAGGGGGCTGATGACCCAGGCTGCCCTGCCAAACCCGGCTGCTGCTCTATTGTGGCGCCATGCAGGTACACTGCTGGTGAAGGACATCACCGTCACGCCCCGGCCCTCATTCCTCGAGTACATATCCGGTGGTATCGAGCTGAACTTCATTGTCTCAGTCGACTACACCGCCAGCAACGGAGACCCGCGTGACCCGAACTCCCTGCACCATTACAGCCAGCGCCCTACAATGTATGAAGGTGTGTGGAGATGGGTGCGCATGCCAAATCAAAAGCATCGAGATATATATTGGGGCTGGGCTGAGCATCTATCATGTTTCCGTCGCTGCAGATGCCATCTCGGCAGTAGGTCGGGTGCTTGAGCACTACGACCATGATAAACAGTTTGCTGCATATGGGTTTGGCGCTGCGGTGCCGCCAACTGGCAGCGTCAGCCACTGCTTCCCGCTCAATGGCAACCCCAGCAACCCAGAGGTGGCGGGGGTGCGCGGCATCCTGGACGCATACAGGAACACGCTGTCCACAGTCAGGCTGTCGGGCCCTACGCTGTTTGCGCCCATCATCAATGTTGCGGCTCAGGTATGCGCCGTGCTGGCAGCAGTGCGTTGTTCGCTTTTTTGGGGGGCGAGCATTGACACTGCACAGATGGCTAAACCCGGCGTGTGTATGCCAACCATGCCCTGGCGTTGGGTTCCTGCTGCACCGCATCACTTCGATGTTCAGAAACTCAATCTCATCGCCATTGTTTGCAGATTGCCTCCCAGCCGTCCTCGCGCCCCAAGTACTATGTGCTGCTGATTTTGACAGACGGGTGAGCAGGAAAAAATGCAGAGGCGATTTGCCCCCCAAACTGGCCCACCCCGCTGTGCTGTTGAGCAAATTCGATGCATGCATCCTGTTCTGCCTGAGGACACCTCTCTGAGCCCTTGCACTTTGTTTGCAGGTGCATCATGGACATGGATCATACCCTGCAAGCTGTTGTGAAGGCATCGGAGCTGCCGCTGAGCCTGCTCATTGTGGGGGTCGGCTCCGAGGATTTCTCGGTACGCGTCGATGCTTGACTGTGAGCTTGCCTTTGGTTACCATCCCACCGCCCAGTATCGCTCACATTGATCTGTATCGCCCCTTGGCTTGTCCACAGGCCATGGAGAAGCTGGATGGCGACAAGAAACAGATCAAGGCACCCAATGGGCAGAAGGCGGCGCGCGACTGCGTGCAGTTCTGTCAGCTGCGCCCGCACCAGGTGAGACTGCTGGGCCGGGTCACTTGCTGCCAGGAGCGCCAAGCAGTGCAGAAGCCGGAAATGGTGCTGCCTTGTTCAGTCACCAACTGTTTGCTTGACCTTGCCCTGGCAGCCATCCAACCCTTCTGCACCAGCCCTGCCCCCTATTGCAGCGTGACACTGTGGAGAGCTTGGCGGCCAAGCTGCTGGCGGAGCTGCCGGGGCAGCTAGTGGAATATTTCCACCACCTGAAACGCATGCCGCCACCGACACCCCTGGCGGGTCACAGCGCGGCCTCCTGGCAGGCGCCTCCCGCTGTGCCAGGCACGCCGCCGCCACCGGCAGCTGCAACGGGGGGCTATGCTTCTGCACCTCCGCCGGCAACAGGCTACGGGGCTGCCCAGCCTGTCCCATCTCCGTCCCCAGCAGCGGGAGGCTATCCGCCAGCTGCGCCGGCCGCAGCGGGAGGCTATCCGCCAGCTGCGCCGGCCGCAGCGGGAGGCTATCCGCCAGCTGCGCCGGCCGCAGTGGGAGGCTACCCGCCCGCCCAGCCTGCGGCAGGGTATGCCCCAGGCGCAGCGGGACCATACCCACCATCTGCACCTCCTCCTGCAGCAGCCTACGCTGCGCAGCCTGCTGCATGCTATGGTGGACAGCCGGCTGCCCCCGGAGGCTACCCTCCCGCCCAGCCTGCGGCAGGGTATGCCCCAGGCACTGCGGGACCATATCCGTCATCTGCACCTCCTCCGGCAGCAGCCTACGCTATGCAACCTGCGTCAGGCTATGGTGCACAGCTGGCTGCCCCCGGGGGCTACCCTCCCGCCCAGCCTGCGGCAGGGTATGCCCCAGGCGCAGCGGGACCATACCCACCATCTGCACCTCCTCCTGCAGCAGCCTACGCTGCGCAGCCTGCTGCATGCTATGGTGGACAGCCGGCTGCCCCCGGAGGCTACCCTCCCGCCCAGCCTGCGGCAGGGTATGCCCCAGGCACTGCGGGACCATATCCGTCATCTGCACCTCCTCCGGCAGCAGCCTACGCTATGCAACCTGCGTCAGGCTATGGTGCACAGCTGGCTGCCCCCGGGGGCTACCCTCCCGCCCAGCCTGCGGCAGGGTATGCCCCAGGCGCAGCGGGACCATACCCACCATCTGCACCTCCTCCTGCAGCAGCCTACGCTGCGCAGCCTGCTGCCCCTGGGGGATATCCTCCCGCCCAGCAGTCGTTTTACCCACCTGCACAGTCTTCGTACTACCCCTCCGTCTAATTACAGGCTCACTTATTATGGTGCTCAATGTTTTGCAAGCCACACGAATGAAGTGCATGCCCCTAATGCCCTGCCAGGCCCACTTGTTTGGTGTACATAACCTTACTTGTTTGATGTAAATATCCATCTGCTCATGGGGTGCAGCAGAAGGGTGTCTGGGTTGCTGCTTAAGCTGCAAAGCCGTGGCGGGCTCGCTGCCCAGCCGGCATGCCGGCGCTGCCGGGCGCCAGCAGGTGGGGCTGGCGAGGCGCTGCTGGCCGACCCGTTGGCTGACGCTGGACTGCTTGTGGTAAGAACAAGTGACTCCATGCGTATGCAATTGTCACCCCACTGGTGGACGGAGGGCTGCGGTCCGCGCGCAGGTACTGGCAGCTCGCAACTTCCGCGCCGCGTTTCAGGCTCGCAACATCCACTCTAGGTGGTTGCGTTTGCTTGTAACACTCAAATCATCAAGGTGCGGAGGCTAACTGCGCGCTCCCACTCCCAACACGCCCACCAGGCTTTACCTTTGAGGGCCGGTCAAGCTTGCCTCAGAGGTGCTGCGTTGTGCGTGCGCCTGGTGTTCGCCGCTGCTGCTGGCACCGCCGCCGCCGCCGCCGCCGGCTCCAGCCACCCACTGCTGCCGCCGCTGGCTCCAGGCGCCCACCGCTGCCGCCCATGGCGCTGGTGCAGAGGACCCAGGCAATATGGGTTGCGTCAACAGCATCGAGGATAAAGCAGCGGCGGGACAGCAACGCGCGGGGCAGAGCCGGCAGCAGGTCTTTCAGGCCGAGGCGGCGGCCGCGGTGGCGGAAATGCTGGGTGGTGCAGGCACGTCATCGCAGGTGGAGATCAGCATCAAGTGCCGTTCGCTGCCCAACAAAGACACGTTCAGGTGGGGACGGCAGCGCCACGGCGCTGGTCAGGGCCGTTGTGTGGAGGCCTGGTAATGCGTCCCTGCAGGCCTGCTCCTCGATGCCTGGGGCTGCCATCCGTGCGCTAGCCTGCTGCCGCTGCTGCCCCCCCGGCCATGCAGCAAGTCGGACCCGATGGCCATCCTGTACCTTGCTGGGGACAGCAGGGGCAGCAGCTGGGGAGAGGTTGCACGGTCAGACACGGTGGCCAACACGCTAGGTGAGCTGTTGCTGGCACCTCATGTCCCACCTTCAGGCACCCTTCGCTCAGCTGCTATTGAGCTTGGCCCGACCCTGCACGGCTGCAGACCCCGTCTTTCCCGTCCCATTACAAGTCACTTACAGCTTTGAACGGCTTCAGCCAATGCGCCTGGTCATTTTGGATGTGTGAGTGGCAGTTTGCGCCAGCTTGAATATCAAGCTGGGCTCTGGCTCAACTCCCTTGCCTGATGTGAGACGCCTGCTTATCCAGCACAGCACTTGCGCATCCCTCATGTGCTGTCTGCAGGGATGTGAAAACTCAGGACAACTCACGCCTCCGTCTGGACCAGCAGAACTTTCTGGGTGCGGCGCAGGGACACACATGATGCCATGCCGGCAGTTGTCAGTCCTCTCCTCGCTGCAAGCCCTGGGTCCATGACTGATTTTGGTGCCTGCCTGTGCCGCTCTGCCCGTGCAGCACACGGCGAGTTCCTTTTGTCTGACCTGCTGACGGCGCAAGGGCAGACGCTGACCCTGCCGCTGGCCGACAAGCATGGCCGCCAGCTGCCGGGCTGTGTGGCAGTGTTGTCGGCGGAGGAACTTCCCAATAGTAATGCGGTGGTGAGCTGGTCACTAGGGAGGGAGGGCAGGAGGGGATTGG